GGCGGAGGAGGCGAGGCCACCGCCGGTGGCTTGGAGGATTAGGGAGACGATGTCGCAAGGGATGAACTATGGGTTGGGGTTAGTGGACTTGGAGTTTATACGGGTTTACCCTTTTTTTTATTTTTTATTTTTTTTTCTTTGGAGTAAATGAGAAAGGGTAGGTATGTGAGACATACGATGCGAGTATAGTATTTGGGCGGGATCCGCGAGTTCTCGGGTCCGAAGGCGAACACAATCTTCCGGATACACAGGTAGATGCCGGCGGCGAGAAAGGCCGGGGCTATGGTTAGACACTTCAACGACACGAGTTAGTAATCGCCTCCTTACGAAAGCCAAGTATATAATTTAGATATGTTTTGGGAGTATATAATAGCTCTCCAGCCAACTCGATCAGGGAGTCCCTCTTGGTACGAGACCGGCAAAGAGAGAGAAAGAGGAAGGGGGGGCTGTTGGATATCGCATACGCAGATCTGTATCAAGAATCCGCTTTCAGACCACTGGTTCTGCCAGCTCATGATCCGGCCGGCGTAACCTATGATCTCGACGATGAGACCGAGGGCCATGGCAATAGTAAAGTTACCGCCACGCCGCGTGAAGGCGAAGACGGCGAGGAAGCCGATCAGGGAGAGGGCGAAGAGTGCCAGGAAAACTACGTTGGGCGCTAAATCGATACGGTAGGCATAGAAGGACAGATCGTAAGGACATATCTCTGGCGTGCAGTCCTTGAGGGGGATTGCAACGTTGGTGAGGTCGTTGCCGGCGTTGGCGCCAGACCCGGCTTGGTCGCTCATCGCGGATAGAGATAGGTATTAGATTCGAGGCGATGAAGGATGGTCAATGTAGTAAGACTCTCTAGGGTAAACGGATATGAAGGGTTCTACGGCGGAAATGGGTTAGGTATGGTAAAGAGTGAGAATAGTTCCTCCAGCAGAAGGGAAGCAAGCGTGCTAGTTAAAGACTATAAGGCGGGATGGGCAAAGACCGCGGATGCCGGGGTGTGTGGGCTTCGCAAATGTTTATATCAGTCTAGGTATATATCTACTACATAAGCGGCTCAGCCTCAAAAAAGGCCGGACTGGTTTATTAGAGGCATGTCTAGGTAGTCATAGTCGCGGGTAGCCATAGAAGCGAATGCGAGGTAAGGCTGTGGGTCGAATTGCCTAGTCGAGACAGTTCTTCGTTATCGAACCTATCGTCAGAGTGGACATCGTCAGAGCGGATAGATTAGTTTCTTCTAAATGACTCTCTTTAGCTATTACAAATATCGAGATATTCTTCTCGAGTTTTGGGGGGCATATTTCCCCTATGATAATCACCGGAATAGAAAGTCGCCGATATAGGTAGTTATGCTATATCTAGAACAGACTATTAACAATATGCGTTCTAACGGCGTATACACACTTCCGACTCGATGAGTATACTGTATAATCGCACCCGTTGGCGGCCGAGCGGACCCCGCGGACCTACGAGCGCATAGTCACATTGTCACAACTTCTGTATGTGGAGGTAGACACAGCAAGACAAGCAACATCATGATTTGGTTCGCGACAAGTCGGCGCAGATAGCCCCTTGGACATGCAGAATATGTGTGTGTCTGTGCCTATGCCTATGTAGAGTCAGAACCTCGGCTACCACCAGGATCGCATCCATACTACCATCTCGCTTCCCTGAAGATATATATTCCCGTCCATACCACGGGCTCGTTAGCTTACGTGTCGTTGTGGGCTGGGCATCTCAGCCTCACTAGAAACCTCATTTTGGCAGACTTTAATATTGTATAGGAGGAATGTATATGCAGATCTTATAAGTTATTATATGAAGTCGTGGATGAAAGGCATTATGTTGATTGGTGGAATCGTAGTGCACTGCCACGATGCTCTGCGTGGCACGCGGTCTGATCTGGAATCTCTAACAAGGTCAGGGGCGGTCAGACAACCGGGACGATAAGTCTTAGAACCGTCCAGCCATCTCGTAAACTACTCCTGTATTGGGTAGGAAGCGTTGATTTAATTACACCTTAGGTTGGAGAGAAAATTAAGATTCCATAATGATGGAAGAGGACTAAATAAGCTTCGAGCTAGCGCCGATAATGTACGTACCTGTTACCTAAAAAGGAGATACTCGTCTTGGCGTGCATAGGTATAATCGGGGCTAATCCGGATTAACTTCTTACATAATCCCTGAGCTGGCAGCTTAAACTCGTCGTTCTTCTCCACGTAGACGTCATTCATTCGTCAAGACTCAGGTACCTATTGCTTCAAGACTAAACAATGTATTCAATGAATTACAACTCGTTATCATTCCCACCAGGAACAAGCAGGAGAAGAAGGACAATTCTCAAGGTCAGCTAGCGACAATGTTATCCTCTTGCTTCGGTTCCTCTTGCTTTGGTTCACGAAAGAAGAGCACTGACCCCGAGCGAGAACCACTGCTCCCTCAATATGAGCAGGACACTCACCTACAGCGGGAGCTGTATCGGAAGCTCCAAAGCTACCAGATGCTAAGCGCTCTGACCAAAGGATACATGCCAACTACCGAACAAGCCATTGTCAACTTGCGTACTCTACTAGCAAGCGACGTATTGAATCCCGAGAACCCAGACCTGTCCGACAGTGGTCGCCGTTTGACACGTCTCACCAAGCTATGGCTGCAGCAATTCATTACCCTTCTGCAGCATAAAAACGGCAAGGATCAACTTCAAGATCTTATCTGGTTTTTAACAAGAAGCCGAATATCAATCGACGTGGAAGATCTCAGTGCAAGGGCCAAGAAAACCAAAGCCAAGGCCGATATTGCTGCTGCGTACCAAAGTGTACGCACCGTCGGCTCGCTGCTGCTCACGAACCCCGATTTTAGAACATTCCTTAGTGATCTCATCATAGTCGGTCGCGAGGTTTTCAGCGACTCGGCATTTGCCTTGAGTAGTGCTGCTAAGGAAGTAGGCGAGCAGTTGGAGCCATCACATGAAGAACAGCAAAGTATAGCCGAGTCGGGAACTACTAGTGATGGGCAGCCACCAACAGCCCAAGATCTAGAAGATGAATTCGAAGACGCCGGCAAGGTTGTTGCGAGCCACGGTGCTGAAGTCGTAAGCGCTACGGTCGAAAGTGCCCAAGATAAGCTTTCTGGAGATGAGGGCCAGGCACTTTTGAAGCGATTGCAACAAGTAGTCCTCAACCTTCGCAAGCGCAAAGACTATTCGGATTCCGTATCGACACTCTCACTGCTCATAAAACGCTACGCCATAGTCTATTCGCGAGCCGCTGAGGAAGTAATGGAAGTCGCCCAGGACAATGTCCAGGAAAACCGGGAGGCAGATCGTGCCCTCACTAATCTTTGGGAGTTTGTTAAGAGCTTTGGTGACAGGAATGAATGGGAGAAGTCTGAAGAGCTTCTGAAGAAGGTTATGAGCCATAAGGATAGCGATCCCGAGTTTGAGAATCTGCTACAGGACCTCGGTGACAGCTTGCAGAAGCTCCTTATGGATCCGGAATTCTTCTCCAATGCGGATGAAAAGCTCCGGGAGTTAAGAGAAAAGAGCAAGAAGGTCGGGTCAGAGAGTAGCTTGAAACAGGATGTCGATGATCTTCTACAGCAGCTATCTGTTACGTTCAAAAGTGTGGCAAAGGACGAAGATATCCACAATCTGACAACAACCATGCTCCGTATTTTTGGTGTCCTTTCTCCTACCAACTCGGCGACGAACACTGACTTAATCCATGACGCGCTGAATGTCTTCATTCCACTTCTCATCAGCGCCGTTCAGTATGTGCCAATCCCACGTCTCGAAGTCAGCACACCAACAATCGATCTTCTACTGGAAAACCTCATTATCGAACCCGGCCATACTGTGAACGGAACATCATTCCTTCCGTTCAGACTGAGGATCGAGAATTATAATGATGTTGAGATCCGTAAAGCCCGCTTCCGGACAAATGCCAGCATGAAGAATCTCATGCTCATCAAAATCGACGGCCTTTCGGCACGTGCGGACGAGGTCGGCTTTTGGTTGCGCGCCCATAGCGGGTTATTCCGTCTGGCCGATGAGGGTATCGCAAGCTTCGCGCTAGATGAGCGCGGCATCGACATTCACCTCGAAGTCGAGATATGCCGCGGGCGCCTAGAACAGATCATAACACTACGCCGCGTGCGGGTAAAAGTACACAAGCTAAACTACAAGCTCCGGAAGAGCAAGTACTCGTGGCTGAGCTGGATCATCCAGCCAATGCTTCGTCCCATCCTTAAGTCCACAATAGAAGCCCAGCTCGCTTCTGCCATTAGCGATTCGTTGCATGCCGCGAACCGCGAGCTGTTGTTTGCTCGGGAGCGTCTGCGCGCGACGCGGATCGCCGACCCGAAGGATCTGTGGACTTTCATCAGGGCTGTTGCGGCTAGGTTGGTACCCGAGGAGGATCCTGATCTACAAACGAGGGTGGGTGTTGAACAGCCGGGCCGTGGTGTCTTTAAGGGGGTCTATGCCCCGGGTAGCGTCGTTAAGATATGGAACGAGGAGGCATCTCGGGCTGGCGATCGCATTGAGCAATTTGAGGCAGGCGGCTGGCAGAACGACGTGTTTAATACGCACGTGCGTAATCTCAATTGAGTTCGATTATTTTCGGCAATAGGTTAGGTTAGGTAGGTAGTTTACTGGAATAGCAGAACGGCGTTATTGGGATTGGTTAAGCGTACATGAGGACATTCCTTCACAGGATTTTTATTTGAAAAGTCCAACCCAGAGCCTGCATTGTAAAGTACGTATCTGGAGGCTTTATCTTGTTCATTTGAGAATAATATCGCAAGATGAACGGAGGAATTTGTACACGGAATATAGGGGTTTATGTTTAGGCGTGTTGTTCGATCTATACTCTGAATTAACTATCATGTTTTCAATCTCGAAGAGGAGTTATCTAGGCAGGTTAGAAATATATGACTTCGGAATCTTACCAAGCTATGTAGGTAGGTACTTATATGCAACTCGTTGCTCAATTTCGAGGATTCCATCATATGAATCCCAATAAATCTTTATGTCGCCTATCAACCAATACCCATCCATCATCCTGGATACTCGTCTGATCACTCCGAGCCTCTATAACCAAATCATCCTCCTTTCCCTCTCCATCTCCATCTCCATCATCCCCATCCTTCCCCTTCCCCGGCTCCGGATACTTCCTCAAATGCTCAATCGCCCAGACAACCTCCTTCGTCAACGGCGGCGGCACCCTCCCATCTCCCCTAAGCGTACCTAGTCCCGCGATCCGAAACAGCCCCTCCAGCCACTCCGCCGTCTCCCCCCTCTCCCAATTAATATCGTGGAACCGCCGACCCTCCCGCCGCGTGCTTTCCAACCGTTCCCGCTCCCAGCGCTCCTGCTCGGCCGCGGGCGGCAGCGGCACCGCGTTGCGCCCGGCGAACACCCGCGCCAGAGCTACGGCTTGGTACTCGAAGCTCCGGAACGTCAGCACGCGGGGCACGCCGACGATGCCGAGCGTGGGGTGCGCGCGGAAGAAGGTGTGCCAGTAGTTCCCGACGAGCTTGCCGCTGGCGTAGTCCCACAGCGGCGCGCCGTTCGCGCTGTTCGCGGCGTTCCAGAACGGGAAGGACGCGTTGTACCCCGTGGCGTAGATCACGGCGTCGACGTCCGCCAGCCGCGTCCCGTCCGCGAACAGGATGCTGCCGCCGTCCGAGGCGTCGTACGAGGATACCACGGGCTTCCAGGCGATGCCCGGGGGCGGCTCGGGGCCGTCCCAGCGGGACTTGGAGCGGCGGGATTGGAAGACGGGGAGGCGGGCTGTGGAGACTAGTTCGGCGGTTAGGTCGTGGCCTGACGCGGAGTTGCCGACGACGACGACGCGTTGGTTGGTGTAGGGGAGGGGCGAGCGGTAGTATTTTGAGTGCGACACGCGGCCGGGGAATTTCCGGGCGTATTCTTGGAGGCCTTTGACGTGGGGGATCTGTGGCCCGTGGGTGTGTGTTAGTTAGTTAGTTATACCTACCTCATAGTGCCGAGCGGTGCTGGTGGTTGGGTTATAAAGCGAGTGAGGTCGGGATTAGAACGTACGTAGGGGACGGAGTAGTGCCCGTTCGCCAGAATTACGGCGTCGAATGTTTCTTCCCACCAGACGTCGACGTGGCGAGACGGGTCGTACTTCCGGAGGGTCAACTTCCACCTTTCGGGGCCGTCTTCCGAATCGGGTTTTAGTTTGGTGATGTCCTCGACGGTGGTGTTTAGACTCAGCAGGGAGTCCGTCTTGTGGAGCGAGAAATAGCTCTCGATATACTGTTTCGGGACATGATGTGGCGGGAACGGGCCGTAGGCAAACCTCCTATCGGAGAAGCACATGGCGATGTCGGGGACATTGGTTCTACATAGTCCGGTGTTAACACGTTGACTCCTTTATTCAATAACAATTAAAGGACTTGAGTCGAGCCCCCACGTTAAAGAGTCGTAAATAGGCGTCTTGGAAAACCTCTCTTGCTGGTTAGGTTGTGTGATCTGAGGGAGCTCCTTCGGGATCTCCAGCGGCGGATCGACATCGGGGGGTAACTTTCCCGGATGCACCTCTAATGCGGGCTTCGGGTCCGAGTCGTAAATCCTGCAGGTTGTAAGCAAAAACATACTTATTGGGTTATGTATATAAAGGACCACGGCGTACCATGTTCCTCCGGGCGTCTCTCTTCTCTCAAATACCCGAATCCGTTCAAAATAGTTCTCAGCTTTCAATGCTGCCGCGGCGATAGCCCCTATTATATGTATTAACTTATGCTAGATACCCGTATGCATGTAGGTAGTTATAGGTAAGAGTCTTAAAGATGACATTTATACACACCTCCCGCACCCGCGCCAACAACAGCCACGGACTTGATTCTATGCTCCTCACTCATATCTCGTACAATAAGTATTGTAATAACTAAAGCTTCATCTTCAATTGAACCGGATGCGTAATCGCCTTTACCTAGGAGGGGCATTGGGATCCGCATGAACTGATTACCAACGCTTATAATATTCGCAATACTCGTACAGTATGTCGCCATTGTCACGTGAGTAAGTATATGCTATCATTTATATAACCCGGCAATATTTCGACACGTTGTAGTTCACGAAAGGAGAGGGTATATACCTGTTAGGCGTGCCTTGAATTGCAGCCAAGTTGTACATGGATATTGACAAAACTTTATAGTATATCTATGAACTTCTAATTGTTAGCTTGAGGGAACTAAATGAACTAGATTAACAGGTAGGTACCTACGTATGCGTATTATTAGCTATAAGTATGGTTGAGAGGTACCTAAGGTAATAGTATCGGCTTATTACTAGGTATTTTCTAAGTTAGGTATTTACTCAAGTGGTTCTTGACAGCTTAGCTCATGCTATTTTAGAATTAAGATCTTAAACAGGGGTGTTCTAGCTTCTCGGTGCCGAATTTCATTTATGATTAGTGAATAAACAAAACTTATGATGTCCAAGGAATGCTGACATGTCAGTTATGTGCGTATATATTGTCTTACGAAGGATCCCATAGAATGCAGCTGCTCGTAATTGGGGTTATAATTCAACTCAACTAAGCCTTTACTAAATGAATCATGAAGTAGTAGTTACTTTGAATATTAATACCGTTTGCTCGTACTGAGTTACATGCTAGCTATTTGAACTACCCTGCGAGCTATAAAGTGACTTCTGTGCCCTAAACAGATATATCTTGCAAGTCAGTTTGACCTTGTAAAAATAGCCCGAGAGAATTGTCGTACTATATGCGAAGTACGATTAAGCCTTCAGATGATATAAGCTTGTATCAGACTAGCGGCTTTTACAACACCACCTTGTTTCCGCGTAAAAGTCGAAGTCGAATGAAATATCCGCTTACGCACGCAGTCCTCAATCGCCTTGCGCGTAAGTAGAGGGGTATAGGGCTAAGCGTCGGTCCGGACCGTCCTCACACTTATTAGGCCCTTACGTGAGGAAAGGAGGGACCAAAAGAGCAGACCCGGTACCACGAAGTTGAATCTTATAGTAATATAAGTGTGAAACAGTAGTTACGTAGAAAATGCGTCTTAATAATTATAGTTAGTTATTTGATAATCCAAACACAACTCTAGGAAAAATACTTGGTTGCCTCTTATTTTGAGGTATATTATTAAAGGGGAATACCTTATATGACTTCGACGGGTGGCTGCATAAGACCTATGGCGCTATCCTGGAGTTTCGAGGAAACAGTCTGGTTTGGGTATGGCCGATACGTAGTAATTCTCTCATATACCTATCATTTAAAATACTCACGCGCCAAGGATATCGTAGGAAGCCACTTACGGTGGCTGCTTGTTGATACCTGATATGATAAGTTAATAGAGGATCAGTGGCTTGCAGCTTCAAACCATATGATCGAATCATGGATACACTTTTGCACCAACACCTTAGCCGTCAAACTACCTTATATTAAATAGCGAGGTAGGGGTTAAATCCGCAGCTTAAAATCCTTAGCCGTATCATAGTATAATATAGGCAGAGCTTCTTGGTGCGAATTTAAGTGCAAATACCTTCGGTCCCGAAATAACGACATGGAGTTTCTATATTTCTATATCCGGTGGTGTATAAGTCGTAACAAAATTAGGTGACTAAATCAAATTGCTAGGTAACTTAGCAAATATACCTTAGGTATCTAAGGGATGAAAAAAAAAAAGACATTTATTAAGTAGGTACCTAGGTTGGCATCGTATTGCTTACTTAATGTTGGTGGTGTTGGTATTTACAGGCAGAGTCGCATTTATGTCTCTTATTACAATTTACAGGCCTATTATCGACTCATCTTGTGTTACAGTTACATTTCTTCTACCTATTTGACGTAGGTACACTGTGCCCACCCGTCTCCCACGCGTAATGTGACTTATCAGCCTTCCACATGATAATGGCGACTTCATATTATTATAGTTGCATCTACAAGGCCTATCAGGATGGAGCTGAATCGGCCGAGAAATGCTGGCCCCCAACGGGCACCTCGTAGGTTCTTCCTGTATAAGTGGACAAGGGAGTTCATGTCCTCCTCCGTGGTACCAGGAACCTCCAATGTAGCCTCTTCTAATATTCCAGTCATGTCTTCTCCATTTGCCCAAGCTATCCAAGTTATCACCAGGGCCCTTGGACCTCTTCCCAAATATCAGTTCACCCCGGGGAATGATGACACATCTAAGGAGACTGGCCTTCTCCAAGACTTGCAGCATTTGGGTGTTGAAGACTATAAGACGTTGAAAGATGTCTTGGATGCCACTGTTTCTGGCGAAGAGGATGACAACGAGCTTCTACAGGAGCGTATTGTCACCTTGCTGGCTAAACTGCCCCCTAATTCTCGGGAAGGTAAACAAGCTACGGATGCTTTCGTCAACACGCTCTGGAACTCGCTTGAGCATCCTCCTGCTCAAATTTCTGCTAGAGATGCTTGCTACCGTACAGCAGACGGCTCCTATAACAATCTCGACGCTCCTACTATGGGGGCCGCTAACACACGATACACACGAACGACCCCTGCTAAGGTGTTCCAGGGGCCCAACTTACCAGACCCGGGTCTTATTTACGATAGTATCATGGCCAGGGATGGGACGTCATTTCGCGAGCATCCAAACAAGATATCTAGCGTTCTGTTCTACCTTGCAACAATCATCACTCACGATATCTTCCAGACAGTAAGTTATTTATACATGTGTACCTGTCTCCCTTAGCCTTAGCCGATATCTAATAGCCAAGTAAAGGACTCGCGGGACGCAAACGTCAACTTGACTTCGTCGTATCTCGACCTTTCGCCTCTGTACGGTCGTAATGATGAAGAGCAAAAAGCTATGCGAACTTTCAAAGACGGTTTACTTGAGTCGGACTGTTTTTCGTCGAAGAATCTTCTTGGATTTCCTCCAGGTGTAGGAGTTTTTTTGATCGTTAGTACTCCTGAATTTCTTATCCCCTGCCAGCCATCCCTGGAAAGTGTACATGTATTCACGTTGAGGGATTGTATTGGAGGATCAACAACGTGTCCCGTAGCAGATTTTAAAACTGTAAACTCTCGCAGCTTTAAACTTCTTCACTTTGGATAGTTAATACTAAAAACCATTCGCAGATGTTCAATCGGTTTCACAACTATGTTGTAACTCAGCTTGCAGGGTAAGACTCCACCTACCAGCGGTACCTTGAGTTTTATATAATAATAATAATAATCAAAAAATGCTAAAATCTATAAGAATTAATGAGGACGGCCGCTTTACCAAGCCGGTCGCAACCAGCGAAGGTGGCAATTGGGAGGCCTGGGAGAAATACGATAACGACCTATTCCAGACAGGACGACTCATTACCTGTGGGCTCTATGTCAACATCATCCTTAAGGACTACGTACGAACCATACTAAATGTAAACCGGTCCGGTAGTACATGGGACCTGGACCCGCGGACGCAAGAGAAAAAGAACATATTCAACGGTTCACCGGCCCCAGAGGCTACAGGCAACCAAGTTTCCGTCGAGTTCAATCTCATTTATAGGTGGCACAGCGCTCTATCGGCGCGTGACGAGAAATGGGTAACTGATGACTTCCGCAAAATCCTCGACGGCGCGGACCCCGCCAAAGCGAGCGTCGACGAGGTATTGCAAGCCTTAGCAAGATTCCGGCGCAGCATCCCCAACAACCCGGACGAGCGGAATTTCGCCGGTCTAAGCCGGGGCCAAGACGGGACTTACTCCGACGACGAGCTCGTCGATATCCTAACCGCTTCTATCGAAGATGTCGCGGGCGCGTTTGGAGCGAACCAAGTTCCGAGCGCATTGCGAGTTATCGAAATCCTTGGCATCACCCAGGCGCGGGAATGGCACGTTGCTACGCTCAACGAATTCCGGCAGCATTTTGGCCTGAAGAAGCACGCCACGTTCGAAGATATCAACCCAGACCCTGCGGTCGCGGGGAAGTTGATGTCGCTCTACGACTCTCCTGACGCGGTTGAGTTATATCCAGGGCGTACGTGCATTGAGAAAACCCCTTTCCCCTATCCTAGGACATTCGTAGACCCTTAACCCCCCCTATTTGAACAAATAAGTACCTAACTCACTGGCCGCAGTCGTAGCTGAGAAGCCTAAGCCGCCTATGTCCGGCAGCGGACTATGCGTCAACGTCACGACGAGCCGCGCCATCCTTTCCGACGCCGTGGCCCTCGTCCGCGGAGATCGCTTCTATACTACCGACTATACTCCCGCGAACTTGACAAACTGGGGGTATGTATGCATGATACCTACCATCTCGCAGCATCCCGCTTTACCTATCCCCCCTTAGTAAGATGTGAAGCTGATAGATAGTCTTTTAGTTTCAACGAAGCCGACTTCGACCTCAAAGTGGACCAGGGGCAAGTAATGCACAAGTTAATATTCCGCGCGTTCCCATTCCATTTCGTGCGCAACAGCATCCACGCGCATTTCCCGTTCGTCGTGCCCGGGGAGAATAAGGTCATACACGAAGCTCTTGGCACATCTGAGTTATATTCGGTAAGATAATTTTCCCCCTTAGACCCCCTTTCCCACCCCTCCGTGATAGGGGTTCTTCGGTCAATATCCCTTTCTAATGTAACTAATACCAACTTTGATCACCGCAGTGGGAAAAGCCTGCGCGGCAGTTGGATCCGGTGGTCATCAAATCCCACAAAGCCGTTAGCCAAGTGTTGGGCAACAACAAGGACTTCTACGTTCCCTGGGGCGAAGGTATATCCTACCTCGTCAGTCCTCCGGGGAAGACCTTCGCCAAAGACTTCTGCCTAGCTGGCGACGGCACCGCCAACCAGCGCAATCGGGATCACGTCGCTAGATGCCTCTACCAGCCCCAGGAGTGGGAAGCCGAGATCAAGCATTTCTTTAGCCAGACCACCGAGAATCTGCTGAAGAAAGCCGGCCGGATGTTACCGCCCAGTCCTGCCACAGCACCGGGATCGGCCAAAACCTTCGAAGTGGACATTGTTCGAGACGTTATCATCCCGCTTAACACGCGCTTCGTCGCGGAGTTCTTCGGGCTGCCGATTAAAACGGCGGAGACCTCGCCCCACGGCATCTACACAGAGCACGAGCTATACGGGCTGCTGTCTGCCATGTTCTCGGCCGTATTTTTCGACAGCGACCCGGCTAATTCCTTTAAGCTGAGGACTCTGTCGCGCGAGCTCGCCTTGGGGCTAGAACGGCTTGTGCGGCTGGAGGCCGAAGCGGATGCCAAGACCGGTTGGGTTGCCGGGATGGCGGCGCGGTTGGGCTTTATGTCTGCCGGGAAGGATGGCTCGAGTGTCGGGGGTAAGGATGACTGGCCTGGGCTCCCGCATTACGGGCGACAGTTGCTTTCCCGCATGATGGAGAAGGGAAAGACGGTTGAGGAGTGCGTTGCGGGGACTGTTATGCCTATCAGGTGAGCTGCTCATGCCTGGGGACCAGTTGATTACGGTAGCAGAAGTGAATTCGTGGATGGTACATCATACTGACGCTGGATATCATAGTGCTGCCGGCGCCATGATCATGTCAGGCCTGCTCTCGCAGTGTCTAGATTACTTCCTAGGAACGGGGAGCGAACATCTGCCCGAGCTGTATCGCCTAGCTCACGAAGACACAGCCGAAGCTGACGATACGTTGATGCATTAGTAAGTTCTATTTCTCCCACCCCCTACCTACCGCCTCCCCGTATACGAACCGCACTTCCAAATACTAACTCAAACCAGCCTCCTAGAAGGCATCCGCCTCCGCGGCACCGTCGTAGTAGCGCGCACCATCCCACCCACCAGCCCCGCCCAAACCATCACCGACGACATCCCCTGCCTACCTCCCAACCCATCCTCCCCATCCCCCACCCCCATCCCCAACCCCCCCTCCTCCCGCCCCTCCTCCACCCGCAAATACACCCTCCTCCCAACCCAACGCGCCATTCTCGACCTAGTAACCGCCTCCCACGACGCCACCGCCTTCCCCTTCCCCGAGACCCTGCGTCTCGACCGCCCGGTATCTACGTACCTGCCCTGGGGCGCCGGGCCGCACAGATGCCTAGGCGAGGGGCTGACGCGGGTCGCTCTCGCGGCCGCGTTCAAGGTACTATTGCGATTGCCGGGCTTGAGGCGTGCTCCCGGCCCGCGGGGCGAGTGCAAGAGCCTCGAGTTCAAGGAGTGGCGGGGCCAGGTTGGGCGGAGGGCTGTGCGGGGCGGCGGCGACGAGTGGACTGGGCTGAGGGCGTATATGACGCCTGACCAGAGCGCGTATTCCCCCGTGCCGACGACGATGCGGGTGCGGTGGGATGGTGCGGCTATTATTGCTGAGGGGGGAGAGAGGGGGTGGGTTGATGTTAGGGGTAAGTAAGTTGCGAGTTATAGGGCGAGGAATGTAGCTGTACAGCTATTAGTTTGGGATGCGTGTTTTGATTAGTCTCTACGCTCGTTGAAGATTCAGTTGATAATTGGGGCGGCCCGAGGGTAAAGGGGTAGCCTAACCGTTTGATGTAGGCGCGGAAATAGCTTTCAATCGTCATTCATTAAATACCTAGGTACCTATTCATATTCAATCGCGCTCAAGTGGCTTCTATGCAATTCGTTATCATATGATGGATTGTACTTTTCAGTATCAAATAGGCCGTACTGGCTATATTATTGGTTGTTTTAGATACGATGCCCCCAGACTGAGTTAACCTAGGACATACCTATTTTATCTACGAGGGAGTCGAATACATTATCGACAGTCAGCTAGGAAATTGTCTATTAATACAATTTTACTTAATAGGCACCCATACATGTGTTAGGTACGTTTGACTATCTAAATCACTTGAACGAGCTCGGATTAAGTTTGAAGATTAAAAAAAATAAGCAAATACATTGCAATAGAAATATGCCATCAAAGGGGGGTATATCATAGAATTGTAGCAGTAATGTCTACGGATTACCCTATTACCGAGGGTAACTTCGAGTCCACCTCTTTCATACACAGAAAAATAGAGCAATGCAAGACTCGAAAACGGCCGAATAACCCTGGGCCGCATGACGTCGTGCCTTGGAGAGCTTTTACTAACGATATTTCGTTCTAGCCATTATCGTAATAGCTCATCATCTGGACCATCTTCGAGTAGTTAAGAGAAGGAAAGAAAAGGAAACTTGGCCATTGGCTTGGCCGGATATCCAGTTGAAAAAAAGGGAAAAAACCATTCGCATGCGGGTAGCCGTGCCATAGAAACAAATATGCAACCCCCTATACCAGCCGAGCCTTGAACTGTTTGTCCATGCGGTGTTGGCCATAACTAAAGCGTGCGAATCGTGTCATCTCTCAATGCCCGCTGTTGAGTAACATCTCTAGAACGATCTGCTGACCCGAAACCTCTGGATGCGCCATGCAGATTTTGACCGTCCCGTTTGATTCGGGCACGTTATCGTCGCTAGGAAATGGGCCTGACCCATTTGCACTAGACGAGCCCCCCGTTGGACCCCGAACGCCATAGTCTAGAACCCTCACGTCCCTTCCGGCAATGATCTGGCGCAGCCGACCATTCTCGGCATTGCGCACCTCGACATAATCCTCATTAAATAGTAACAAGTACTGCCCATACATTGTGGCACCCCTTGCTTTCTTTTGCTTTCCTGAATATTCCATGATGACGCTACGGCTGACATCGCCGTACTTGTCTACGTATACAGCGCAGTCCTCGTATGCCAGGAGAAATTCCTGGTCGTTCAGGCGGAACATGCCCAGAGGTCGTTGATCCTTAATACGATAAGCAATGTCGGCAATAGCGGGTTGCTTGACGTCAGGAATCGACGTAGGTATCTTCTTATCAAGGGTTAAAAGCTCGAAACCCCTAGCGGTTGAGACGGCAATGTACGTGTGGAAAATGTTGAGCGAGTAGCATTCCGTAGGGAAAAAGAACTCGTCATAATCTCGGAAACTCTCCGTCACGCCCACACCAGCTTTTCGGCTTCCACCGAAGAAACGCGTTTTCTTTTCCGTCGCCTTTTGGAACACCGGCTCGAGCACCTTGAAGGTGGTATGTAGACTTTCCTTCTTCTTGTAGAACACCAGCATCCGGTCTTTCATGCGGGCCGTAGCAAAGAACGATACATCTTTGGCAAGCCTTTGGGGGGACCGACGGTGGCTATCATTCGCTGGAACGGGAAAATTGGATGGAGGTGATATCACGTCGAGAGGATAAGAAATAAGATTCCTGTCGGACAACACGAGAACAACGGAAAACTCTTCAAGGACAGCGATTTGTGTAACTCGGTTGGCTGTAACCGTCTAGGAAGATAGTCAGTAAATGGCATAAGACGTACGCATCTATGGGTCTTACCTTATTCCAATGCCGTTGATCACTAGCTTCCGACACACACACGCCCGCGTCTGTGCCAACCGCAACCATATTCTTACCGAAGGCAGAGAAACCAGTCGCACAATTAACTCCTGCTCGAGAGATCGGAGGAGGGCCGCGACCGGATCCGTACGTCTTTTCAACCTCCCGAATGGCTCTATCAAGGGGAGTTCCACGTATATGCACACCACCAACATACTTGCCGATGGCTGCGATTGGATCGTAGGCAAAAGCACTATCGGCCATTACGCGTAACCTGAATGGCTCGGCATTTTGAGCATGTAGTGCCTTAGCATGGCGAGTCTTGGCCTCAATAATCCTGTCACACCAATCCTGCCGCGTCTGAGCCGACTGCGCGAATAGAGTATATACCTCGTGCCCTAGATGTTTAACACGGAAAGGATAAAGTATCTTTCCTTCAGTGTCCCCTGAGCCACCGGGCGCTAGCCTGGTAACGGTTCCGGTGCCGATGGACGAAGTCGTGACTATATGGTCCAGGCCGGGCCGCTCGGTGCCGTTTGACGCTACTTTATTAAGCTTGGTATCAGAGGCTGAATTTGCTGCTCGGGTTAACGGAGCAGTGATTCCTTTTTGCTTAGAGACCGGGTCATCTTGGCTGCTTTCGAGAAATAATAAAGGCATAGGGATGGGCTAAAAACGTTAACGAATGCTAATTATTCTAAGTGGAGAAATACTCACTTCTTTCGACACATCGTATTTCCTGTCTTGCCTACCGTCTTTTGATATGACTAATTTGGCGAGGATCAAGTAATGATCGAACAGTAAAGCATGCGTGTCGACCCATCGCATACCCTTCGAACCCATCCTCTGAAGATCGCCCTGAAGGATAAGTTCCAGATGATCTAAATGGAGGTCGGCGTGGAAACCCGGTCGAAGAACCAGCATCTGGTCTAACTCGATCATCGTCACCTTCTTCTGCATCTCATCTACTTTCGCGTCGCATTCAAGGGTCATAGACTTGACTTCCTCAATAGCCCTCTTAAGATTCGACTTTTCCTCGCTCTCTTGTACCATATACTTTAATACCGTCTCTAGGAGGAGGGAGTATCTTTGCAGACGTGTAATAGGATCTTTTAAGTAGCTGGTCCAATCAAGACGCTGTGACCGAGGGTGCGCCCGGTTTTCTTCGAGAAATTGCTTGAATAGGAAGTTTTTCTCCGCCTCTTTCTTCACTCGATACCGTGCATAAGGAAAGGCGGAGGCGTAATCAACATACGCAGTTCTGGCTTTTCGAACCCATTCTCTGAAGATGTCGCTAAAGCCTACAATCCAAGGACCTTGCTCTTTTTGTCGGTACTTCAATTGTGCTAATAGATGATCCATATTGACCTGCTGGACCGCATCGGCCTTGCCAAAAACGTCGCTGACGAATTTCTCGATCTTACTTTCAGCAATAATCCTGGGCTGAAATTGGAGGAGCCGGTCTCGGTATAGAACACGGAGAACATCAAGGCGGTCCATGTATACTTCCTCTGAAGTAACGATTTCGTGGAGAACATTTTGTCGTGAGATCTCCTTCTTCGACCTGTTTTCTGTGCCCTCCTTCGTCATGTTATAAAATGTCACCCAATCAACTGTCTTAACGCCATTTGACATAAGATCATCTAGGTTGGCTTTCTTAAGCGTCCTGGTACAATGATATGAGTAGCACCGTGGTGGTACTTCATGCCCTGTTACATCATCATCATATTCGTGAAGTTTTGGTGCGTAACAACCTGAACCGGTCAACTGCCATAACACACCGGATATAGAACCAGGTCCGAACTTGAGCCATTCTTCTTCCGGGACAAGGATACCAGCGTCCAACATCGAGTCCGTAACTTGGGTGCTCAGAGTCTCGGCGTCTGCGACGTTCATCGTCGGGACCTTCAGGCAAAATAGTCTAACAAGACCGTCTTCAAGAGTCTTCCTTTTTAGGTCGGGTTCGCCCTCAGCCATCTCACGAACCCATTTGGCGATGCCACTCAAAGCCCATGGCTCCGTGCAAGAACGGACGTCAACAATTGTGAATTTTTCTGGTTGGAAATTTCGACGCCGACCGCTAGGTAGAGTAATTACGTCGTAATTTATCGATGAAGCTGTCCCTGTTTCATAACCCTCATACGGCAAACCTTGTTGAGCCGCCAATTGCTGTTGCTGTCTCACGTGCCTCAACCGTGCGTTACGCTCCTCGGTGGCATCAGTCTTCGACCGACCCGGTGGCTGGACGTGAGGCGAGGTACTATGGCTAGATAACGAGATAGACCTCTCGACTTGAAGTTGCTGCGCATTTTGTCCATATAGAGCATCCGGTCCAGAATATGGAGGCGAGTCTACACTGAGGGAGTATCCGTGTTGATATCCAGCTTTAGTAGGCGACTGAATAGATAACATTGAACTGCTGTCCGAGCTGGCAGGTATAGCCGGGAGAGGACGATTCGATAGACCAGGATGGTAAAACATGTCCGGATAGTCTTCTTTTATAGGAGACTCACTACCGCTTTGTCTTGAATGGAGGGAAACGCGCTCTTCTCCCTCATCGAAGCTCAAACGATGAGCAGCGGGTTTCTGTAACCCACCAGTACCCTCATAGTCCACCTCAGCCTGCTCAAAAGCTGGATACTTATTACTCCCATGGCTCCTTTGGGATGTATGGTTACTGCGGGGGGTCGGCAAAGCCTGCAAATCTCCCGGTGTCGTTTCGGAAGCGGGCGGCGATCCGAGATTGTTGTCATACGTTAGGTTTCCTGCGTAACCTCCACCCATGAGCCCCAAATCCATTCCAGCATAGTCACTATCGCTGCTTGGCTCTTCCTTATGGGTGGGGAGAGTAGGTTGCGTGGCTGTTTCCGGCGGATTGAAATAGGATAACGTCCCGCCTACCGAACTAAACCGACGATCATCCTCTTCCGCCTGTTGCAATGCCCAAGCCCCGGCCGCGCCCTCGGGATCGCTTTCATCTCCATCATAATCTTCGTAGGAATATGGGTTGGTTGAGTGATTCCTATTCAACGTCGACGCATTGGAGGAGTATCGGTTTACCCCAGACGGTTCTTCTTGGCTCGTTATCGTGGTAGCAGTTGAATGATAGCTCGCGTTGGACGTTAACCGACGGAGATTCTGTAGATCGCCATCGGCCAAGGCGCCGTTACGCTGATCAAAAGCCGTGGGACGACCATGGATTGAACCATTTCTCCTCCCGAGCTCAGCTTCGATATCCTGCATAATGCTATTTTGTGTGACGTATTCCTGTGCTATATCAGGAGCATGGGCGCCATTAGATGGATACTGCTCTTCGGCGACATCGTCGACTGGCCGGCTAGGCAATGGCGCGTTAGTCGGATGGCGCGCCAAGCCAGTTAATAATTGTGAGTGGACAGGGGGCGAAGGTAGTGGCGATGCTGCTGAATTCGACCTGGATGTACGATTCAAAAACGAATGTGGATCGTTAGCGGAATAGTTTGGCCCCACAGGTATCTCTGAATGAGTCGGGTACGGCGCCTGGGAAGACGTGGACGAGTCGGACGAGTAAAACGTAGCTTGTGGGCTTGCACCATCGTTTGGGTAGCTCGTAGTGTAACGCCCTTGCGAAGAATCGTAACTAGTCGTGAGAGTCGAAGCTATTATGTTGGTAGTAGGCGGGTATGCCGAGTTATAAGGTGCTCGACCGTAGCTTGCAGTGTAAGTGGTCGGTGGAGTGGAGGTGTGTCTTGAGTGGGTGGGAGCAGCATATAGAGGTTGGGATTGGAAGTAGGGCGACTGATTTAACGGCGGCGAGCCATAAGATTGACCATTGTTGCTATTATTATTAGTAGCATATCCAGCATGAGTCGCTTGTCGCTGAGGTACTGGCGCTCCAGAATATGCGGCGGGATTATACGGAGCAGGTGTGAAGTTATTAGGCGTCGCGTTTGTAGGACTATATGGAGCGGGCGTCGCATTTGGTGGAGCCCACCTGTGTGAGGGGTGCGGTAGGTACGGTAGCGAGGTAGAATGAGATCGAGCGAAGGCTTGCGGGTTGTACGTCGATGGTGTAGGCGGTGATTGAGGCTGGTACTGATGCTGGTATCCTGCCATGGCGACATTTGAATTGCCATAGTTGGGCCTGCTGGGATCGGATGGGCTAGCTAGGAACAGCTCATCGCGGCCTGCGAGCCCTGCGACATTCGTATTCAAGGTTGGCTGATAGCTTGGACGAGATACAGGAGAAGTAAACCCGCCAGAATCGTCGCCGCTGTTGAAGCTTGACCGTCGGTTCGGATAGTTTAACGGGTCTTGCGAAGACTGATTTGCGACGGGGTACTGTACCGGAGGGATATGGCCATACCGGCGCTGGTCGTTGTCTCGAAATGACATATTGAGTTGCGGCAACTAGGTTGTTGCGCAAGGGCCGACCGCAGGGTGGAGATATTGGGTATTAACAAATGGATTGATAGAATGTTGTCGCATGAATGAGCGTTGGCAAGCTAGAATTCTATTGTGTCTGAAATTTGACGAATCGCATCCCTATAGGTCCTAGTTTCAGAGGAAGCTCACGACAAAGTTCGTCTTTGGGGAATTTAACAAACACTAGACGATGCAAGTGGGAAGTATTCGGCACCAATGCTTTCACTAAATAAAATGCGGATAATCGTCTGGGTTAATCTGGCAACCCGGTTATAGGACAGCAGATTGAAGGGGTCAGAAAGTTTAATCGTCAAGCCGTTGATGTCGTAAAAACCTTTACTACGTAGGATTAAGACGTAATAGAAGCCGGAGTTGATGATAAAGCCCGTAGCGGATATAAGAAATGGAATTATAATAATATAGGCCAAGCAAGAGTCGTAGTGGCTAGGAATGAATTGCAAAGCCAAAAATTGGTCAAGAAGACCATGACCATTCTGTGTGTGCGGCCAATGTAGGGAATGGAATGTAAATGGATGTTTAATGGAAGAACATTTGAGTTACCTGAGGTGGGCTGGGCTGAATTGAAGTGTATGGGGGCCGTTTCTCCAGCTGTTGGCTTTCTCTTTTTTGAAGGGTCGGTAAGAGCGCGGTCCGGTGGTGGACCCGTGAAAATCAACGGCAACCTTAAAGCTGTCCCCCTCCTAGTTTCCCCTCCACAAACAATTGAACCTTAGAACCCACCTGCCGCAATGAAGCCAAGCCACAGCTATACATCTGAACATTGAGGCTTGTAAGAGGGCTGTGCAACACAGGTACCACCACCACCACCACCAAAAAATATGGAATTTCCATTGTTTTAAATTTTAAAATCATCCATCTATGGACTTTAGTCTATATCCACTAATGAAAGAAGGGCTCGAGAAGCTGCATACGTCGGAAAAGCTATGGAATATGCATGTAACTATTAGCCAATTAACAGAGCAAAGGAGTACCTTTCACATACCCTGTCACAGTGTATTCCTTTTCACGGATACTCTTAATCCTTCAGAACTTTGGCTTTTAAAAGCATACAACTATGCTACTTTAACTCTCTTGTTCGAAAATGGGCTTCTATCGAGTCTGCATTACTACCTATTAATCTAATATCTAACCCAGGTATTTACTAGTTGTTCTTATAAATGCAGCTGATCTACTAATATCTAACTCGAGGAGTTACGATCCGGGTATCAACAATTACATATTTAGTAGCTCGGCAAATGACCAATCGCTAATGACTGGAAGATAAGATCATCACTTTGGTCTAAATATTTACAAACTCACTGGACTAATCCATAATTCCTGCCCAAGTTACGAACGTTTACTTCGTACATATTACCCAGTCTTGTGAAGTAAGTCAACTAACCAAAAGCAATTATTCTTTTACACGCCAGTTATACTAAGGTCAAACGCACCATTGCGACACCCGAGTCGGCTTGGTTAGTTATAACGAGCAGCACTTCCAGTGGTACGCTGCCACGTCTTCCTTGCCATATCGCTCTGCCCGCTGCCAAGATCCTCTTTCGTTTTCCCTATGCGCCCCAGGAGGATAGAAGAAGACAACCCCAACCCCCATCGTGTACGGGGCATATACGTAAGTATTCGAGATGATAATTTCTTTCTGCGGCTATGTTAGTTGTTGGAACCGCGTTATATAGTCATAGGGCTGAAACCGGTGATTTAAATCTATCGAGCCTTTGTTATGGGGTTTCCCGCCAACCGGAATCAACCGGTGTCCGAGTACCTTAAACCTACTGCGAAGTAATACTGTATGTAACACCCTGTAATATTACCGTTACGGTCAATCTCGAAGAAATAAATGGGTAGCTTTGCCCTCGTAATGCATTACAGCCGCGGCGTTGCACTGCAGAGAACTTTCGACAGCAATCAAACATGTCGTCATGACCCCAATTCCACATCCCTTCGTTTGCTACCACGCGACGTAAGCTGCTTATTTATATACCTAAGGTTAGGAGGTAGATAAAAAAGTTCCGGGTAACGCTCTTTTTCAATCAGTCTCCTCCAGTCAACCGTATCCCCACCCAAAAGCAGTGGTACATGGATGTTGGTGACGCTTTGTCGTTGACATAAAGTACGTAGAATCCCCACGCGATGCGCCGATTGAGGTTAGTCGTGAGAGTAGCTGGACCTAGTAGCTGGATCTGGTCGTAGTCTTTACTCTTTCACGACTTGTCATTGTTATCAATATAAGACACATATATATGACCTTGACCCTAGGCCCGGCATACAATAGTTGTAAGTGTACTTCTGTTTGACTTTGGAGTTACGACTAATGAAAGTTATAGCCACCTCGAGATAGAGCTTTGCAAATGCGTCCTCGTTACATTAGTTATCTTATATCAATACATACGAAGTCCTCGTTCAGCCAGTTAAAATTATGACCATAAAAATTGAAGTACTTCAAGGGAGATCCTCGTACCTTAGGTAGATTGCGAAAACGCGCGCTGGATTCTTGGGTCTAGATTTCATAGCCCTGTCCTACCTATGCGCTCAACTCTCTACCCTTCCAGTTATTTACCTACCTATCTTCGAGTCAGTAATCAACTTAGGGAATAGGATAACGATTGATAAAAAACTAGATTGCTGTGATGTAGAAGTCTTCTAAAATCTATTATTTAGCTACCAGGTACCTAGGTCAGTAGACGTCAGCGCCAGATACACTACCAATGGGAACGTAGCCGCGATGAAGAGAAGTCCTACGCCCGCCCGATTAAAGAGGATTATACGTCTAGGGTGTATCTCTGCCCAACCGTAGAGAATAACTGACGCTACTGCAGGTACGCAACCATTATTCGCAAGCGCATAACATGTTGTCCATCTGCCATATAGGAATTGAAATAGAGGGATGTAGAACGATCTTCATTGCCGTATCTTAGAATTGTGTCTTTGCCTTTTTCCCCTCTTAAATCTCACGCCACGATCTTTTCCAGTTAGTAACGCTAATTATATCGAGTTTAATAAATCTTCCGTCGAATTTTTGGTGTTTGTTACTGTTGAAATCTCGCTACAGTCCCTTCATTACCCATGTCTATCAAAAGGTTACCAGTACCTATTGTAGATTATGGCCAGTTTATCAAACTCCGAGGCAAATTCCCAGACCATGCCTAACACGTCGAACGGACTGATGCGTCCTCGGTCCCATGCTAGGTCTTCCCGGGCCCAAATATATCCTCACCCAAACCTAGAAAACCAACTCTCCCACCGAGAGTATCTCGACAATTGCTTAAGATTTGAGCTAGTTCAAGAGCGACTTACCCAAGTACCTGGCAAGCCCCCCGGGCCTAGATGCAGCGATGTCAAAGCAACCCTTGAGAGGGTAGACGATATCTGGCCAATCCCTCATGACTTGGGGGCTGGTGAAGTCGGAAACACATTGAATGCTAGCGTTCCACGACCTTATTCGCGTCTCGCCTTAAGTCAAGGGACAAGCGTTACATGCGCTCAAGGTATACCTGGCCCGAGCCGGGGTGGGACGCAGCATATTCATATAGCTGGTCATCAACCGACGGTGAGCTCTTCCTTAAACCCAAGTCGGAAGAGGACAAGGAAAAGAAAGAAACATAGCGACGATGATGACGATAACGACGACGAGGGTTCTCCTAGCTACGGAAAGAAACCAGCTTCTCTGAAAAATCCGCGCCCAAAATTTGCCTGCCCATTCCTTAAGGTGTTCCCCCATTTACCTCTCCATTGCCATGATGAAGGTGGCTTTGCGGACACGTCTCGAGTCAAGTACGTCAGACCCCAACTGCATACACTTAATATGTTCTTATATTTTCATAGGGAACATATTTACCGGAAGCATCGAAACCCTCAATGTCCGTTCTGTGGCACAGTCTTCGGCCGGAATGAGGAATGCACAGAGCACCTTCTCATGAGGTCCTGTACGCCTCCTGAAAACGGGTTCCCCATACTTGTAATTCATAACGGACAAGAAAATGAAATGCGGAGGCGACAAGGCTTGCGAGGCTTGTTAGAAGAGGAGAAGTGGTATAGAATATACTCAATCATCTTTCCGGAAGCCGCCCGTCCGTACCCGTCTCCATGTAAGTTATTTACTATGGCTGCTCTGAAGCTCAAGCTAACCGGCGCCCATAGATGTCGAAGAGCATGCAGGATACCAACTGCAAGAGGAACCACGGCAACCACAAGAACTATCTCATGAGGTACGACAAGTGATCATGCAAGAGATGTGGCAGTTGGAAAAGGACCCACAACAGCCAGAACAGCCGCAAGAGCTACCGCAGGAGCTACCGCAACCACCGCAAGGGGTATCAGGACAGCCTCAAAGCGTATCGCAACAGCTTCTAGAAGTACAACAAACGATTATACGAGAGATGCGGCAACAGCTACAAGAGGTACGGCAAGCAATAAGACAAGAAGTGCGACAAGTAATACAGCACGAGGTACGCTTACAGCTGCAAGAAGCATGGCGGATATTTCCCCCGTATTTTCCTCAACAGCCATGGCAAGGTGACGGCCCTTCTCTTCTTGGTATTGGTGCTCAACTCCCCATCCCGGGAAATTCCAGTGGTGAGAATGGCCATAACGGCCACGAATTTGTCGACCCTGTATTTCTACAGGGAGAAATGCTGAATATGTTCGAACAAGTGCCAGAGGAAGACCCGCCCAACCCATCTGGTTGACTGCCTAGATACCGGATCTGATCGTCATGATCTTAACACTTGGCCACCTGACCCAACTATCTCTCGAATATTTGTCTGTTTATGTTTGAGCGGTATCGTGGACATTGTCTCTTAAGATCTACAATCTTTTAACTATAGGAGAGGCTCCCCTGCTTAAGGCGCTCCGCGCTGGTATCCAGCGGCTGCGGGAGACCTCGGCTGTTTTGGCTCCCCGGACTCAGTCCGTCGCATCGACATCGACTGCATCTCATCTTTCATACCACGATCATTACCTGACTAGGGGACATGAATGAATTTAATATACACCTACGTTTTCCCTTACAGCTCATCCGAACTAAACTACTCGAGAAATATTTCACTTATCTTCCTGCTCTTAGAACCCCGGATGCCTTATATATTGAAAATCCAAATACTTACGACACACACAAGCCCGCTACCCTGAGACACATGAGTCACTATTTCATGAGCCGCTACGACAAGCTTGAATGCTACGATGATAAACGTTATACCTTCTAAAGTTGCCCCTTCGGGAGGCAAGCGGGATGAATGGCATCCCAATTCCGACTAAAGTTGAATATTCATATTTTCATTAAGGTTTCCTTACCTCTAACGTACACCTCCTCGAATATCGAGTTTATTACCCATAATCTACTCAATTTCTTTACATTCGTCATGATTAAGTTACGCAAACACCTTCACATTTTTGATAACGGGACACGACGAGACGTGAATCTAGAAGTGGATGGGCGATGTTGGCATGCATATAGTATGTGTTACTCATTGCTTGTTCATGGTGGCTCCCTATACATGGCCATGCCTTGGAGAGCTAGGTACGGGGCGAGATGAACCTGAACATTGAAGGGTCTTATGTACCTAATGATTACGTTAACTACGTCGCTAATTTATGAGATTCATCCCGACTTGTCAGTTATGGAAGTACTGAGGGATTATCGTACCCAGCTACCTAAGCTTCTGGCTTTCGACGTAATCGGTGCCTCCTGAACAACTCCCTAACAGAACTACTGTTTTGATTGAGAAAGGGGGTTCGTATAAGACTTTCTGGGGATTTTACGGACATGCGCAAGATGTATCCTTAATACCTCTTATTTGCCACGGAAAACTCTCTCTCGACTTAACGCCGGTACCGAAACACTATTTAGCGCAGAGGCCTCTAACTAGACGTAAGGATCGGCCGCGTATCTCCCGCTATTAACCTGTCAGCTATCTATCTGCCTGTCTCTCGCCTTAGCGCCGAGTCGAGACCAATTAAAATGATACAAGTTCTATAGCTGCTCACCCAAGAGCTGATACCCGCTGATTCCCGAGGATCGGAGAAGTTAGTTACGATCGTTTGTGGAGACTCTTGTCGGCGCCACGCCCGGGCTGCCGGGATTGACGGCGGGGTCCACAAAACCGCTCGACCCCGAATGTAATTTGAGGCTCTGCTATGATAATGCCGGTAATTTGGCGGCTCGAAATGCCAGACCTGACCATGGGCATCAGTATCGCCACAGGGAATATTATTTGTTTTGCTGTAAGTAACGGTAAAGATCTTCGCTTGTACCTATCATTGGCATTCTTGGCGTCCTAGGGAAGACTTAGGTGGGTTACCGTAGGTATCGGCTTATGAATTCTAGTGGATGGCCGGCGTACAACCGGGACCGAATATCTTGTGTGGACCCAGGCCTTAATTCTAACCACTCTTCTTAAATGTTAATCTATGATACCTTGAGTAGTTATTCGTGAAAGATATGTCCACGCTGCGCTTGCTTCCTGTCTGCCTTACGGCTCTTAGAGGGGAGTTTAGGTTGGGCTTGGGGAATTATCTCCGACCAAGACTTTGCTGTTGATGATCGTTGCGGTCTCGGCAGTCTTGTTCTGTAGCTTGCAGAGCCGACTGTCAGCTCGTGCTGTTGACCGCGCTGCCAAGACTATACCCTCTTTGGGGTAGATGCATCTTGCACCTATAAATAATAAAGGTATACATACGGAAAGTATCCTTTGTTCTAGATCTCTCATCCAGCTTAATGAATACAGCAAGTAGCATCATTGCGACCGTTTTACCCGGACCCCTACCAACAGCCACATCAAGACGATGGCCCTTCTCTTCTTGGTATAGATGCTCAACTCTCCATTTTGGAAAATGGTAGTGGTAGATATGATTAATATCAACAATAGCTCTATCGATCTTGTGTTTCTACAGAATGTGGATTCTAATGTCCCTCCTCATGATCCTAGTACTTAAGTAGACAGTTAGATTAGGCAGATTAGGTAGTCATCGGGCTGTATTTTCCGTTTAGGAAAGAGGGTCTCCGGAGATGATGTCGGCGTTAAGAGGCTGAAGATTATGTAGCTTTCTATTCACTGAATTATTCACTTGCATAAGCGAGTCAGCAGCCAATATAAAGGGCATAATTATAATAGTGTCCTAATGCCCGACTTTCAGCTACTCACGTGAGGGATTAGAAAAGCACAAGAATCATATTTACTCAAAACGCTTTCTTGGACCCTTTCTAAGGGGATGTGTAGTAGTTCCTTCTAGAGGAGTAATTTTGGCTCGAGTCCCTATGAGTATACGCTTTTATTTCCTATTTCCTCGAGACTTCCTACCCCCATAACACGCTTCACTTTCTTATGCGATTGCGCGGTACTTCTATTGGTCATATGCTTTGCTGCCCAACGCATCATTCTACCTAAGGTCGAATAGCTGTCTTTTTCTCGCATGTGGAGCGATATGCTGGTGTGAATATTGTCACTTGCTTTCACTTTCGGATGAATTCTTACCTACCTTAATACCTTTCTATACCCCTTTCCACGGCAATAAGCGTCATACGAATCATTAATCATGGGCGAAGACTGGTGGGACGATTTTTCCAACAACCTTGCTACAGATCTTGCTCCCCTTATTAGCCTTTTCGGGGAAAATCCAACCAAGCAGTATCTCAGCGAATGCTTAACCATTCTGGATATTGTTATATTCTCCATGGCCCCCATTGGGGTTATTACTGCTGTTGTATCTGCAATTCGAGTGCGTGGAACACCGTCTCTTAGAGCTTTCGTTGGGAGAGCTCAAGAGGGAGCCGGTACGGCCGAAGCAGAATTGTGTTCATCTACTAGCCGCGATGTTTGTGAACTTTACACTAATGGAGGTATTGCTCGTGTTTTTGGTCGTCCTAAGCTACTCGAGGTCGTGCACGATCCCAAGTATTCGGGTAATGCATTTTATCCTACAGATGGAAGCAAGCCAACAGCTGGTATATATTCCTTCGGGCAGTATATCAAAACAGAGCGCGGGAGGGAAGAATGGAACGAGACACAAAAACGAAATAAGTCTGCAGGATCAGACGAGGAGAACTCTACTAGAGAAGAGCCAATACGTTTTGCACCAAACCCAAATCTTTCCCTCAATATTGGAATCAAGCCATTGCGCCGTGGTTGGTTTGTTTTTGCGGCCATACTAGGGATTATGATGCAGTTTTTCGTATTGGTATGGGCGGTTCTCACAAGATACCACTTTCAATGGACACGAAACTCCAATGAAGGTAAATCATAAATCTTATGTCTTCGTTTTATTTTAATGCTAAATATCAATTTTAGACTACTACGCGGTTCCGTTGACGGTAATTGGGACGGTCCTACTTTGCCTCGGAATAGCTTTATGTGCCTATTTGATCGAAAGCAAAACCAAGGAACATGTCTTCGAAAGGAAATATAGTCCTAACTACAAATCTGTATTTTATTGGGTCCAACCAGGAAATCAAACCATAGGCGATCAGATGTTTGACCCCTTTGGATATTCAGACACCAAGTCCCCCTTACAGAAGTACATCACGTCGTACAAAGACAAAGCGGGAAATGCTACGATGGGCTATATTTGGACCGCAGTCTCATTATCCGTGATAGGATTCATCTGCCAGTTTTTAGGTCTCAGAGCATGCCATTCGTCTGTATCAGTCCTCCAACAACGGCATGGCGGGAGACCCAAATTTCTTCCAGGGGCACGAACTGGAATGGCTGGCACTCAAGATTGGACAGTCTGATATGCCTTCTAAATCCAACACCTGCAAATGGAGGGTTATTAGTACACCAAGAACAAGTTGCGCAGACATTACTATTCGCTCTATCGTAAATGTGTCTTCTAAACCTGAAGCACATGAAAGCGAGATATCATGTTTAGTGGAAAGACTTCAAGGGTTTTCAGGCGGCGTGCCTATCCTTTCTGGGTTTCGAATCCAATCACACAACTTTAATCCCACGGAAAGTATTATGAAAATGGCTGAGAAGGAGATTTCTCAGTGGATCTCAGCAGAATACTGCACTGAAAAAACTCAACATGATTGTACATCTGATAGCTGCGGATCAGGCCCGAATTCGACCGTGAAGGCGTTCTTTTATAGAAGTCGGCTTGCTCGTATGATAGGGCTGGAAGAACCGGAGTCAGAACATAGTAGTCACTGGGGTAAAAGACGCGTTTTGGTTAGAGATACGGCCCTAGCTTTGGCGCAAGCTATTGAAGAAACCATGCAAGTTCTCTTCGCCTCAGACTCTCAGCAATCTATCAAGCTTTCTAGATCATGGGGACAAGCCTTCTGCATATTTTGGACCATTCAGTCCTCATGTTCATTAGAAGATGGAACTATACAAATGTCATTGCGAAGAGCACATAACAAGGACAGGCTCCCTGAAGGACCGTGGAAAGCTGAAGCTTCTGAAATAGAAGCTGTCCTTGGCTTATGGTTCTGGTCATTAAAAGAGCAGGGGCCGCGTGACGGTGGGGGTGCAGAAGATATGAGCTCTAAGAAGTTTGACGAGCGCATAAGTCGCATTCTCTCGACAGGTAATAGTCTTCCTACAGGGAATGGAATGGATTTGAATATCTGGAGAAATAAAGAGGAACCGATGATACAAGATTACCGGTTAAAGGTACAAGACCCAGATGCTCAGCCAGGATCTGGAAATGTGCCCAAAGCAGAAGGAACTGAACAACACGTTAATCAAACCTCCAGTCCGGGGAGAAGCATCAGCCGCGCAGAAGTTGAGAATGGAGTGTGGTGGAGAGATGGAGATGGAGATGGATTTGTTGTTGGCGTTGGCGAAAATAGACCCCCTAGCGAATCATACGATCAGCGACGATTTTTTGGCTGGTGTAATATGAAAAAAACCTCGCCTTGGAAGAGTCTTCGTGCTTTGGTGAGGACTTCCAAAAACTCACTTTTATTAAATTGCGCGCAGGAAATATATTCGTCATTTTTAACGGCAATTATGACAGCTGTTCAGGATACTGGAGAAGTAGAAGTCGACCGACATCGGGGTAATATTACAGTCCACAATGAGAATGTCGACAAGATCCAGAATATTCTTATCGAAAGAGGCCTGTGTGATACAGAAGATGCTTTCGCATGTACCATCCCGATTCTGAGAAATCAGCACAAGCTTCAACTTCCTGATAAGGTCCTTTATGAATTGGCCAATAATAATATAACAGCCTTTTCTCGAAATCTTCATCCGTGGAGTAAATCCATATCTTTAATTAACTGGAGACTTTATCATGCATATTCAAGTCTGGGATCAATAAGCGAGCAGAAAGGTTCGTTTGAGGGACTGGAGGCTATTAATCAGGTCAGGCGAACTTTCGTAGCGACCTGCGAATTCTATCGTCGAGATATCATACGGAATTACAGCGAGGGACTGGCCGGCTACGAAGGAATTTTTGGATTGCTCCAATGGTACTCGAGAAATCAAAAGATCATGGACATTCCACTTGTCTGGGTTGATTTTGGGGAGCGCACAGATTCAAGCAATCGTCAATCGACACTTAGCCTTGCCGAGACGATCAGATGTTATACCACCGCTGCCCTATATCAGGCAAAAAGGATAATAGAAGAAGGAGGAGAAGAAGAGTATATATCAGATTACTCCTCTATGAAAGATAAGCTACAGACTGAGTTAGGGGAGGAAGTCGAACCAAAATTAAAGGCAAACAACCTTTCTCAAGCCATTAAGGAATCCGATTTAAGCGCCACCCTTTATTTTCTAGGACGGGAACCTCTTGACGAGCCATCAAGAGTTTCGGCACTTATTGATGCCTGTCAATTAGGCTGGTACATGGTTGTCGATGTCTTGGTGAAGCTTGGCGCAGGCGGAGAACAAGAAGATAAAAACAGACTCCTTTATGCCTCCCAAATCGGAGATATCAACATAGCGAGAAGATTCATTGGAAAGAAAGATATACGAATGCAAGATAACAACGACGGTGACGACTATGATTATCGTTGTATGGTTGTTCGCGAAGTAGCCAAACGAGGACATGCGATAATATTTAATGACATGATACAAACTTGGAAAAGCCGGTCAATATTTGATGATGATCAAAAAGGCATGACGCCACTAAGTTCGGCGATCATATCGGGGCATCGTCATATTATAGATTTACTACTCAGCAACGGATTGGCAAAACCAAATGATCGTCTTACGAAATTACCAGCGCTTCATTTGGCCATCGCGGAAGAAAAAGAGGACATAGTGGAATTGCTTTTAAAATTTGACGAAGTTAAACCAAACCATAAATATAGCAGGATGACCTGTTCCCCGCCGCCGCTGATATGCGCAGTCAGAGTTAAAAACGAGTCTATTTTTGAGAAGATTCTAAAGGCGCAGAGGACTGATGCAGACCGTTATGACGGAGAAACAAGGACAGCTCTTTGGTGGGCAGCGGCTTTAAGTCTTGATTCCTACGTTCAAAAGCTCCTCAGCTCTGGAAAAGTGCACCTTCCGGATGTTCAGGAAGAGGAAGGTGATACACCACTCTCGATCGCGGTGCAAGCAGGTCATCGCGGGGTAGTTGACCTACTACTTAAGATACCGGAAACTACTGTCAACTTAAAAGCGGTCTTAATTGCTGGTAAAAAAGGTTATCAAGATATCGTTGAAAAGGTCCGACCACGAATTAAAAAGAGTACAGAATATTTTACTGAACAAGAGTTCGACGATGACGAACAACATATGTGGCATAACGTCGAAGAGAATATATCATGGGAAGAATTAAAGAATGGCAGAGGAGAAATCGACTGGGACAGGCTGGGAATTGATACGAAATACCTTCCTGAATATCTGGACTATGCTTCACAGTTGGCTGATGAGCCATTCGATGTCATAGATAGCTATGTGCCTACTAACCGAAACCCGGCTAAGAATGAGGATGAGGGACATAATTCACGAGGAAGGGCCTAGATCGCCGGGGGTAGTGCTCAAGTCATCTTAAGAAGTAAATTGATGCAATATATTAGAATCCTAGCGAAGAAAGGACCTTAGACAAAACGAAGCATTAATTATCGTAGAAAGCAATAAATAACACCAACTAGAAGACCATAATCTCACGCGCCGCCATGTACATAATCTTGACGCACTTCCTCGATCTGTAGCGTAGCGCGCTTGAATCTAACACGAAATTCTTCAAGGCAGGCCTTCCAGATCTTCTTCAGCGATGCCTTACTCTTGCCCTCAAGCCGTACAATTTCTTCCTTCGGTATCCAGGCACGCTTTATGGCTTCATAGTCCGATGGCCCAGCTGTGACATACAACTCGAATTCCCGGGTGAGGTACATATAGCCGCAGTGATTGTGCGGGCGTACCCTGAGCCTCTGTTCGCAGAAATTTGTTGCGCTCTCAAGGAGATCCGATTGCCTCTCAAAGAACTCTACGTCGTCGATGTCTATCGGCCCATTTCCCCTGCTGACACGTCTATGTATGCAAGAATGGATGCGCCCGATTACCTAGGAAGTCTAGCATGTCATCGTGGACGAGGATGGACCCCTTTTCGATAGACAGTCGCCGCAAGCTGGATATAGGTTTGAAGCACCACATCGGGCGCACTCCCTGGTCGGCAACGATGGGGGGTTTTAGGAGTTAGGAATTGGAGATGCTTCATGGATGTCGTGCCTGCCATTATCGCTCTTTCCGTCGGCGATCTCGTTGCAGTTGCTGCTTCTGTCGGTGATCCTCTTGAAATCGCCCCTTCCGTCGGCGTTGCTACTATTGTTGGTCCCGTCATTGCCGTCACTGCCATTTCCGTTTCCGCTATGATCAACCTCCGTACTCAGTGCTGCCAGCTCTTGTATTTTTCTGCCCTGGTATATCCATTTGCACGTCAAAAAGAAATCTCGCTCATAGGGTCCTGATCCTGAGTGATAAGTTCCGGTATAAACTACCATGTGAGCCAGGCGATCAACGAAGGCAACATGTATTAGTATGAGTCGTGCCGTGAATGGTGAAGGCCACATTACACGATATAAAGATCGTTGGAATAATCTATAGCTACAGCTCTACTAATACTATTCTTGTGCGAATGACGGTTAGTATACATAACCCCGTAAAAATCCTCCGGTTTATAATATATTGCATTTATATTTACCCTTTTGATCATTAAGCATCTTTATCTTTATGGCATGTTACGACTATGTCTTGAGGGGTATGCCCTCAGAATAGACCGAAGTAAGCATATATATTGATTCCAGCCTTGCGTCAAAGGACAAGAAGACCCCCGAAGATACAATAAGTCTTTTGTCACATATAAGGCGTAATTGCTAGTTAGCAATTACGGTATCGTTTTTGCAATATCTTCAATAGCTAATAAAGTGTAAATACGATAGATATCTTGTCCTCCTAGTGTCCATCTCATTGTCAGTCAAATCATTGATCCTGGAAACATTCATCTCACCCATCTTCAATATAAACCACCCAATTCAATACAGAGTCTAATTGCTTGAGGGATTCAAAGTATACTTCCATGGTATTACAATTATCATACTTTTGGCATCTGTTACTATTCTGGGTAAAAATTGCTATGGACCAAATAACTAGGACACTAAGGGTGATACTTGGCAAATAGCTGATGGTCAAATCTCCTACTATGCTTTGTCAGGTAAGATTAAGCTCAACTGGTGCAAGATACAAAGATATTGGAAAGGTTAAGATTAACCCCTTAACACCCTAGAAGAGTAGTATGCTTTGTTGATTACCAAGAAATTAACCTTCCCAAGTTCAAAAACGTCAGTCCAGGTGGACTAATGCCTTATTAGTCATGTTATACTCTCAAAATATTATAAACTTGTTTAATTTTCCTAGTGAACTTGTTTATATTGGAAGAAATCATTCAACAGATTACCAATCGTACTATACCCCAACAAGCGAACTACACAAGGCGAGTTCATTGTACAGGCAATTATGCGGAAGTTATTGTGGCAGTACATATTCCATTATTTGCAAAGCGATTTCCTCCAAATGGCTCGTACACGGTATTGTTCAACTATGGGGCGGGATATACCTGTCGTGTTAAGTACCTCCTAGACTTCCTTTTTACAGATACGGATTTGTAGTAGGGCCAAGGGTTCTTAGGAATAGGGGGAATGGTGTGAACTAGCTATGACTTTGATACACTAGAACGTGATCTCGTTGCCGGTATATTCTAATGAGGATATACTTCTACCTATATAATCTCCTATTCTTTTATCTTGGTGAGTTTGTACATAGCTTGCATGTGGTGAGATATCTAGGGACATGCAGTATTAGCTGGACTAGACGTCATCTTCATCGTCGTCGTCATCGTCAAGGAAACTTGAGTCTGCCAGTGACAACCCCTCCGAAGGTAAACAGATACTTAGTTCAAGTTAAGAGGGAATCCTAACACTACAAAACGGTCTAGTGGTCGCATGCATATGAAAAGAACATCATGAACTTCTCTCGAGGTTCAGGGTTCAATCCATGCTGTGTACCAAAGATGTTTTCTTTATTTCTGGGATGATGATTGTATCCAACATACTGGAGCTAACGTTACGGGGGTACCAAGTGGTACCCTCCAGCAATGATGGTACCTCCTCCTCATTCCTCTTCTCCCTCTTCTCTCTGACCAGAAATATTTTTTTATTTTTTATTTCAAATAATTATCAGTTTGATAGTTCGACGTTACTTTAGTGATAAATGGTGTTTTTGCATTTTCCCTTTTTATAGCCACGTGTCTTCCATGTAAACTATTCATCTGACCTCGTTCTTCTTTTTCTACCCTATGCGTTTCTCATAGACTTTCTCCCTTGTCCGGATACGTGATATGCTTTTATTGCTGTGTTTTTGTTTCGGTTCCTTGTAGTAGCATATCTTAGGTAGTCTTTCTGACCTAGCTTACCTTTACGTGATGTCATATTCTTTGTGCTAAAGGATGCTCGTCTAAGACATACTAATCAGATAGCGGTGCTCTAATCATTAGTTCTGTCGTGATTATATCCACACCAAAGTATGTATTTCCGGAATATAAAAAATAGGTAGGTGTTTGAAGCGGCACGGCGAAGGAAAGGGGAAAAAAGCCTCGTTTTTAGGGTGCTATATAAATAGGACGGAGCCATAGATCTTATCTATGGAATCGAAATAGAATAGTGTTATCTTCCCGTTACGATGAGACCAAAGGGAGCGCTTGGCACTTAATGTGCCACGCGACTCACGTAAGAAGGATCTAGAATTAGATGCAAGTTGGTCAACTTGGACTATTTTGTTGTTAGGTAGAGGCATTCCAGCTTCTTGGCAATTGTTTGAATAGGCAACTCGTAACTCGTGTGTTTAATGAAGTGAAAGTCGTGTTGGGTACCTACATGCATCATACTGGCGAGAAATACGATCAAGTGCATAGAGCTATGGGACTAATCAAAATTGGTGGCAAGAATTACACTACATAGGATCTCTCTATCTCCGTGTTATTCGTACCACCGTACGTACTAGTATAGCATCGCAATTTTGTACTTTTTGGGGAAAGGCATTGTTACATGTGTATGCGCCTTGTGCTGCTTGTGCTACCTTGCTCTTGATAGGTTTTGGTATGCTTGTAGTATGCTAGTTAATCCAAATTAATCATTCTGCATCCCTTGCTGTTATTGATATTGTCAAAGAAAACTGCATGTCCTTGTGCATGAAGTGCAGCACTCAGCTGATGGAACGGCGTGGGGTTCGGCGCTCACTCAATCTACTTTAGTATTTGTTAAATTATTAGTGGCGTACTTGCAGAAGAGCTTGAGAGGTTGTTGCTTTGGAGTAGGTATTGTATAATACTACGTACCAGCATACCAGTCCTGGGACCTGGGACTGGAAACTGGAAGATACATTTTAAGAAAAAGGAGGGTCTTCGACGCACGCGGCCAAGGCGGCTCTGATGCGGAGAAGAAGGTAATTTCCCAGGTACACCGCTGGACCAATGCTGGTAGCATCCAAGCATCTGATGGAAAGTCTCCAGAAAAATAATGTACAGATCGGGTAATACATGCTACGAATTAAGGTTGACAGTTAGGACCAACTCTGGGAAGGTAAGGCAGGTACCTAATGTACCTACATAGGTGCATTAAAAAATGAGAAATACTTAACCTACATTAGCGTCAGGATATAAGACCTGGGTACCGTACTTTTACAGTAAATAAGGACTAAATCGTAGATCTACCGTTTGAGGCTCTAATACTATTTGAATGCTTAGATGTTTTAATATTTCAACCGGTATTGGTTTAAATGGTATATATTTGGTTGGCTATTTGAACGGTTTATATATGTATGAATGGTTTTTTCCTTGCGAATGGTTTTTTCTTGACGAATGGTTTTTTTACGGTTTGGGAAGGTGTAATACTAGTAGGTAATTAAGTAAGGAAGTCGCGAATGCCACCTTATATACCTAAGTAATTACAACCTATACGCGCCTGTATGTAATATGTAATAGTCTATTTGAATAGTAACCTCGTAGCCGTAGCTTAGTAACCTCGTAGCCGTAGCTTAGTAACCTCGTAGCCGTAGCTGTAGCTGTAGCCGTAGCCGTAAAGTGTTCGAAAGTACATAATAATGCCTAGGTACCTACCTACCTACCTCTTTAATGACTTGACTACTGTACGTACTTGTATTGAGGCAAGTACGTATAGTAGTATATATAATTTTTTTTACTTGCTGCACCTTCCCCGACCGTACTAGGACCGCAAAAAGACCGTTGGTTCCCAAAAAAAACCGTTGGTTAAAAAAAACCATTCGTAAGGGAAAAACCATTCGCATAGGAAAAACTATTCGATACATTAAACCGTTCAATCGCGAAAATACCATTTGATACCAATACCGTTGGTAGATGTGGCTACCGTGCTTCTTTCGTACTGAGTCGCGGAACCATTCATATATATAAATTATATATTTACGGTATCAATACGGTCCTGGGATCTTATATACTGACGCTAATGTACCACCTAAGGTAGCTGGGTAGGTAAGTACAACTGTAAGATGGTTGCGCATTCATTCCTTATTAAAATCCTCGTTGGCTCCTAGTTAGTCTTGGCATGCTGGGGTCTTTCTTCAGGATTACCGGTCACTTCTATCTGATACGTGCTATACGCGAAAGACCCAACTAGCATCTAGGAACAAAACTGACCAAAGAGAGGCAAAAAACCAGAGACTCTATCGCCATCCATCCCTCCAAACAACGTCCTACCGTCTTGGCATTTCAAAAATGACGATCTTAGTTTTGGGACACCAAGGTTCTTGGCATTCTTCTTGGCAAAACGACGGAAAAGACGGCATTATGTAGATAAAAGTAAGAGTTCCGTCTTCCATTTTTCTGTTTGATGCTTTTCTTCCCTCCTGTTCGCCACAACCCACCTAAAGAAGTTTCGCCAACCTTTCTTAATTCCCCGTCTCCATGGGCTTTGGTCGTATATCTGTATGATATCGCGATAGCTTGTCTTCTCTCGCTCATTCTTATTCATTCCTTCATTTAGCTCACGCCTTTTCATTTTTATTCTCACCCCTTGCTCTCCTTTTTTTTAATCTTTATCGAGACGGAGCTTACGCGTCTATTACAACGTGTTAATCGCATTGTGGGGTAGCGTAGTGGACAGTTGCATTGGCTTTTTCCCTCCTTCGCTTCTTGACGGCGGTTGATCTGTTGCGCGCGCGCAACCACAAAGAACTCAATGGGGTGGATTACAGATCAGTATTCTTTCCCTCGGCAGCTTGCTTCGAGTCGATACGTCGCGATGATCCTGTCACGGAGACGCTCGCTATTATTCCTAGGATTGCCATTATTTTTAATAGGTTTGTACTCTTTTGAGGCTCGAGTTATGCATTTTTTGCGACTAACCGAAGTTGTAGTCTTGCTCTTTTCCGGTAGTGTCAGCGTCGATAATGAATGGGGACATAAATTAGATAGCATAGGAGACAACTTCAAAGCTGGTGTTAGCTATGTAACTGGTAACGGTACCGTTCAAATATCGTATCCTTCGACCAACGCGCCCCATAATACTTCTTCAACTTCTTCGTCTCTTACCCCCTTCCCGAGCGAACTGTCCAGTGGTGCTACCAGTACTACCGTAAGGACAAAACCGTATGCCCGACCTGGTTACGAATTACCACTTGCCAATGGAATACCGCTTCGTATCATGGCGCTCGGTGCGTCAACCACTCGTGGCGACAGTCCCGAGGAGGGGATCGATAACAACGGTTTCCGCCGACCTCTCCGCGAGAAGCTCACAGCTATCGGCAACAAAGTTAACTACGTCGGAACTCAACGCCTCGGAAATATGACGGATAACGATATCGAGGCTTATCCTGGTGTTGTTACTGCGACTATCCATGGAAATGCTAGGAAGGCCGTTCCCAAGTCGATGCCCAACCTCTTCCTCGTCAACGCTGGATCCAACGACTGCTTCCAACATGTTGATATTGATAACTTCTACAAGCGGTATGACGCTCTAGTCCGCTACCTTCTCGACGCTTCGCCGAGGTCCACCATTATCATGTGCACCATCCTACCTACTTGGGACAAGCGATTCAACGGCAGAGAGGAAGTCTGGAAGGTCAACCCGCAGATCCGGAGGCTGGCCAAGATTTATAAGCAGCAGGAGCTACCGGTAGTCCTTGCGGAGCTGCAAGGTCCTGACGGAATCCAGGATGGAAATCTGGCTTCCGACGGCATGCACCCCGGCACTGCCGGTTACGAAATGATGGCTACCAAGATGTACGAGGCTATTGTAGAGGCCGATGCCAAGGGCTTTTTACAACCGCCCGAGCCCGTCCCGGGAATTCTTGACGACGGCGACGAGGAGCGGAAGGACGAAGATTACAAGAAGTGGGTAGAGCAGAAGAAGAAGATGGACAATGCGACGGCAACCGCCGAGCAGAAGGAAATCGAGAGGATGCTAGCCGAACTTGCCAAGATGAAGAACGAGCAGGACAAGCCAAAGCAGAAGGAAAAGAAGCCCAAGAGCACCAAATTACGGCGGCGCCCAAAGATGCTGTTCTAATTAGCTGATAATGCGGCTTCTTAGTTCTTGAACACAACTGGGCAATTTTTTATTGGTCTTGCCCATACGAAGTAACGGCCTCCTCACTATTATCATACACTAAATACCATGTAGACTATGTATCTATTAATCATGCCCAAGAAGGCCAAGATTTTAATTGTTACCGTTTTTCTATGATTTATGCCGTGGCGTCGCATAGTAAATGTACCTAGGTAGATATGCTCGTGTAACTCGCTATTAATTCCGTACATTCGATGTGAGTGATGAATCTAACTTCTTATTGCATGCAAGTTGGTCCGATATTATATGGGGCAAACGGGAGCGAAATACGGCTCGATATGTCGATCGAGTGCATATGTATCCGGATAGGCATGTATGTAGGTACGTATATACATACCGTCGCGTGGTGCGAACTCTAATAATAGCTGAGACTGCGATGGATTGGTTAGGTAACTGTGCCACCGAATTGAGTTTTGAGTTTTGGAATTTTAGTTTAGCGAATATTCTATATCCGGGCCGCCGAAAGCTACCGTCCAGTCGGTGCAATTGGTAGGAGCTTTTTTTAAGGTTGAGCTTACACTAGGTAGTGGGAGGTGTGGGAAAGTTCCAGGTTCCAGGCCAGGTCCCAGGTTCTAGCGCTTCTCCCGGCTTGGCTAAGTCCGGATAAGCCAAAGCTGCAGCCCCCAACCCGCCTTGATCGCCGTCTCCTGCCACCTGACAAAAACTCTTGGCTCGGGTGTCAATGCAAACGCCTACGCGCGCCATACATAGACGTGGATCGCGAATTGTACCTAACCTCCGCAAATTCGTGCCACGTCCTCTTATTATCGTGATACCTTGTTGTTGATGTCTTCAGCCTTATTGCATTGAATCATAGTTATGAGAGGAGATATGTGATTTCGGGGAACGGATTAAATTTTTTCTTTTTTTTAGAATTATAGATATTTGCTAATTAATATTCGATACGATAAGTGATGGCGATTCGTTTACGATAGTTTCACCCTTGTCTTCCTGTATCCGCGCCGAGTCTTGTGTAATGGCTAGCCAAGCCAGCGTAGCAAGCAGCCAACCCGATCCACGACATTTGAGACTTATTGCCGCTGCAGCTCAAGCCAACGAAGCCAGACTCCGCGATATCTTGGCCGAAGATCCTCCTTGGATATCTACTAACGATCAAGACGCGCTCCGCCAAGCCCTTCAGAAAGCTGCAGCTCGCGGCAAGCTCTCTATCGTCCAGCTTTTACTCGACCACGGCGCCGAGGTAAACCCTAAGCGAGAGAATGAGGTTCCTGCTCTGGTGAAGGCTGCTGAAGGAGGACATGTGGATATAGTGGTTGAGTTGCTGAAGCACAATGCCGACCCGAATGGGCGTAATCGCAATGCGCAGACCGCTCTATTTAGCGCCTGCTTAAAGGGTTTCAACAAGGTAGTCGAGACCCTATTAGAAGGGCGTGCAAATGTCGAAGCGCAAGACAAGGAAGGGCGAAGTCCCTTATTATTCCTAGCTTCGGAAAAGCCTGGGAAGGGAAAATGGACAATCGACACCTTGAAGTTACTCCTGAATAACGGGGCGAACCTCGAGGTGAAGGATCAGATTGGTCGAACACCGCTACTGTGGGCTGCAACTAACGGCAATGTTGAACTTGCTCATATCTTGTTAGAAATGGGCGCCGACATCGCGGCTACGAACAACCGTGGGCGAACTGCCTTACATCTTGCCGCCGAAAGCCACCATAAGGAGCAGCACCATGATATGGTTAGATTACTCCTTAATTTTGGAGCTGATCCCCGTGCTGTTAGTGACGGTGGCTGGACGCCCCTCCATAACGCTGCGCAGAGCGGGTATGCACCTGTTGTTACCTTGCTCTTGGATGCCAATGCTGATATAAACGCCGAGCTCTCCAATGGGATGACACCTTTACACTGGGCTGCTTTTAACGGCTTTGAGGAGATTGTACGGCTCTTATTGACACGGCCGGATGTCGATCTGTCTATCAAGGATAGCTTCAACCGGACAGCCATGCTCTGTGCCGCTGAGAAGAACCACCCCGAGATTGTTCAGCTGCTCTCGCCTGCGCGGGCTGCCGACCGCCTATCTCCTATCGCGCGTCGGGCATGCCAAGCTTTTGAGGCCACTGTCGTAGACTTTGGCCAATTCGAAAAGAAACAGCTCGTATCTAAATATTCCGTATACGATCTCCTATACGGGTGGGATTCCGAGAACGACAAACCGAAGATTCCTACGTTAACCAAGAATATCAAGTATAAGCCAGATTTTAGATGGATCCATCTTCCTGCGAATAATGTATAATCTAATCGAGTCTCCCCGTTATGATAGATAGGACTAACGCGACATTATAGATTGATTGGGTTGAGGTACTTGATTTCTCCCTTATGTAGCATTTCAATCAGCTCACGCTTTAGTAGACACTTCTTGCCAAGTCCTTCATTGAGGCAGGACACCGGGACATTGAAGCATTTAAAGCGCTGGAGAAATGCTTCGACCAAGAGCATCGTGGGGAACTTCCACACGCCCACTTTATGAGGACGAACTCGCATCGTATTACCGCGCATCGGACTGGTTTCCAAGTTAAAAGGGAGGATAAATCATCACTTGCCCCCTTATCTGAGGAGCCGTCGGATACTAGTACGAGATCGAGCCAGAACAGCAGAGACTCAAGCCCCAAGCAAAATGACTATTTTGAGGACGACGCGCCTTCTAAAAAGAAAAGCAAGTCCGAGCAGATCATGGAGCGGCATCCTAAGAAATATAAACGGGCTAAAGGAACCCCGGGTAATCCACCGCATCGACAAGATGGCATCGTGAATAGCTTGAGTAGCAAGTCCCCAGTTCCGCTAGCCTGGGGCACACCAGGATTTGCCCCCTCGAACGGAAAAATCGTCTTATTCGTAAGCACCTCATTTTATGCTGACGAAGCTGCGTAATTAAACTAATTTGCGAAGATGCCATTCCTACATTACGAGACGGATGAGCGGCGGCAGAAAATGAGCAATGCTATCAAAAATGCCCGCGAAAAACGACGGCTCGTCGACACCTCCCGAGATTCGCTCATCATAAATGCGTATCTAAACAACAACCCGCCTCTTCACCCTCGGCGAACCCTCGATCAGTTCTTTTACCACGGCATCGACACTTCGGCGAGAGACACGGATCAAGTAGTTTATCGGTATTGTAAAAGGTACTCGTTGGAGCCCAAGGTATTCATGGTTGACCAGCTGTGGCTCTGGGTTATTGGAAAAGGTAAGCATGTCTGGAATACTAGTTAGGATTATGACTTATTCGTCTTAGACCTTATCATTACGTGCTTCCCTCAACGCTGGGATCAACCCAAGCAAGATCCTTTAAATGTTTTGGATGGGATTATAGAGGAAACGAATGCTAAGACCCGGCCGCCAATTGGATCTGTGTGGTACGTATATTATTTTACTCCTTACCCCCATGACTTCGTCTTTGGAATGGAGGCTAACATATCACCCATAGTATGTTACTATGCCGTTCTCTTGTATTTCCTATACGATCAACATATTCTATGCCCGCCCACTTTGAAGGTATACTTCTTAAATGTTTACTAGGCACTAACATATACTAGATGATTTGGCAATGCTTATAACCAGTCGTTGTTCCGGAACATTTGACCGGCACCGGCTCGACGATCAGGACTTTCAGTTTTTGGACATGTTTGAGAACTCTATCGGTGTCGTCACGGATCGGGAAAGCCAGCTGTTTAGTCGCTTTAACCGGGCCTCGGCACAATCGGCGCGGTGGCTTCAATACCATCGACGTCAGCGTAACATTGGCCGGTCGGTTCGTCTGTCCTCGTTCGGGACGCCGGATCCGTACGAAGGGAACAGTCCAGACCAGTTCCCAGACGCGCTGCTTGATATCGGCGTCGAGACGTCTCTATTGGCCGAAATCAAGGACATCCGCGACGAGCTGAGCATCATCACCGTGCTCTTGGACTCGCAGGTAGCCGCGCTCGCCGACTTCGAGGACCAGGTGACGGAGGAGTTGCGCGCCGAGGGTCCCAACCGCCGCGCCACCGACGCCGCCGTCGCTGAGATCCGCAAGCGCAGCCGGGAACAGCTGCGGGGCCTCGAAGTACGGCAGAAGGATATCTGGCGCATGGACCAGCAGGCCGCCTCGCTCTACGACAACCTTACCGACCTGCTCGACCTCAAGCAGAAGCACTCGAACGCGCTCGAGGCCAGGTTTGCGGGCGACCAGGCGGTCATCGCGGCGAAGCAGGGGCAGACTATCATGGTATTTACAATCGTCACCATCATCTTCCTGCCCATGAGTTTCATCGCCGCGTTCTTCGCCATCAACCTCCAGGAGTGGCAAGAAGACATCGTGCTGACGATCCCGTACGTGAGTAAGTACTTGTTTGGGATCGGCCTAGGCGTCAGCGTGCCTTTGATTGCGATAGCGTTCGCGGTCACGGATATCTCGGACGCGGCGAGGAATATCTTCGGCGCGGGAAAGAGATGGCTAGGCAAGAAGAAGAGGGGGCGGTTCTCGGTAGGAGAGGAGAAACGCAACGAGGACGTAGTCCCGGGACAGGAGATGTATGTCCCGCCGACGAGTTCGATATCGCTATCGTACCGCGAGCGTGGTGGATTGGGTAGAGAAATACAGACGGACGGACTGTCTGCGAGGATGAGGCCCAGACATAGTCGGGAGCGCAGCGACGACTACGGATACTACGCTACGGCGAGATTATCGCCCGTGTCGGGGCGGCGTGGATCCGGCGCTCCGCGCAAGGTTAGCTTTGGCGACGCGAATGGAAACGGTCATGCGTGGGCACGGCCTAGTCTTGATCGTAACCGCGGGAGGAGGGTAAGTGAGGACTTGGAGAAGGGGCGGCGTGTGTATGGATGAATGAATGATGGGATGGGATGCGAAAAAATGAATATGAACACGAGTATGCCGCTTATATAGTATGGTTGCGAATAAGTGGTAAAATGGATTAGGTTTGGAAAAGTATATATACGATACCTTATACCCCAGTTGAATTCCGGTTCGTAGATAAAATGATGGATTTGGAGGATGATTATCATCTATATACTGGCTAACTGCGTACTCCTTGGATATAGTGTTATTATGAATCACAGCTATAAGGCCGTATAACCAGTGTATACCAATCATGCGCTCAATCTGCGTCTGCATAACCCAACCATCTGATCATCCAACCATCCAACCATCAAAATCAAATAAAAAAATAAAAAATAAGCATATTGACATACACAATAGGAATAGCCAGGAAAAAGGAAAAAAGAATGCATCAGCCGCGAATCGAACGCGGGGCCCATCGATGGCAACGATGGATTTTACCACTAAACCACTGATGCTGGAATCTCTCAAGAGTGATTGGCTTATGACGAATAACTGCCCATTTTGTATATATATAGCGTCATTTGACTTGTCAACACTAGTTAAAGGTGGGGCTTGGAATCAACCATCTCCCAATCAGATAATCAGGATGTACTTTCATCGAGACTCCTTAGTTACCACATTATATTCACGAAGTCCGGCGTGGCGAAAACAACATTCCAGTTTCAGGCAAATCCAAAGTTTCTTAACTTATCCAAAAGGATAATACTATCCCATAGATCTCACCGAAGATAGGGGAGTTAAATTTTTTTAAAAAAATTACGATAATAAACATAAAAAATATGAGCATCAGCCCTAACTTCCCAAACGCCGCCTCACCTATGCCCCCGGCGGCACCCCCCTCGCCCCCCGCCGCGCCGTACATCAAGCCCCAGCCGCGACCGCCCAGATCGCCCGCGCGCGCGGCGCAGATCAGGGTGCAGAACCGGCGGCGCGAGTACCTCGATCGGAATCCGGGGTACTTTAATTCGCTGGAGCATGAGCTTGCCGGTATTTATGTTTTCTTACTCTCCTTACCGTGCCCCCCTTTTTTTAAAAAAAATTCATGTAACCTAACTTCAGATAGACCCCATACTATACGACGCGCTCGTACGGCAGTTCCAATCGCCGGCCGAGCGCGAGAAGGAAGGGCGCGAAAAGGGGTATTCGCGGGTATTAGAAGTGGACCTTTTGCGCGGCGAGGCTAAGCTGGCGCAAATTACTTCCTCATCTATCGCTTCTTCTTCTTCTTCTCCCCCCCAGGGCAGTAGTCTTCCCGCGGAACCTTCGGCAGCAGGGCGACCGTCTTGGCTCCCGAAACCGGCGGCGGAGGATACCGACCCGTTTATTCGGGAGTATGCCAACGGAGGCGACGGTCTCGGCGACGATGGTAGTAGTGTTGGTGTGAGTGTTGGTGGCGACGGTGCTGAAGCGAGGCTGAAGGGGTTGCCTCGGCGGCCGGAGACTAAGGATGAAGGGCGCGGGCGGTGGGATGACTTTCTAAGGCGCCGGTTCGTATTGGGACGAGATGAGGACTTTGATTACAGCACCGTGGATGAGAATGATGAGTTTGACGTGCTTGAGCGCCGTGAGCAAGAGGAGGCGTGGTTTGATGATGAGGATCCCGATTGGGCGAGTGACTTGGTCGGAGATCAGGGGGGTGGTGACGGGAAGTTAGAGGAGAAGAGGCTTGAAGGGGAGACTGGAATTCAGGATTTCTGAGTAGCGGTTGGTTCTCATCGTATAGATCACGGGGTCATCAGAACATTGGAACCCAAATACGACTGGGATAATACGTGGCAAACTAAAACACACTTTTACAGAAAAAGAAAGATGGGAAAGATATAAGGGGAAAGAGCGGTATAAGAACTCTCGAAGCTGGCCGGTTCTCAGCAGTTTTATCGAACCACGACAGACATCACTAGGTTTCGCTATCGGATCAACGGTCTAGAATCATCGGTTTCGAGCTGTATAAGCAGTACCTACCGTGGAGGAAGCCAGTCTATATCAAAGAATACCGGTTAGGGAATAATGCAGTGGGGTGATGATATTGATCTTGATATAATCATAGCTAGGCACCAATTATCCTGACTACTACCTGGTTCTAGATAGGATTTTGGTGTTAAGAGAAAAGGACAAAGCAATAGGCTAGGAATCGTCTTATAGGGATCAAATATTCTAAACACGCCAATACGGCACTATCCAGCTACCTGATATATCTAGTCTAATTCAGGTACGGGTAGATGATCGACAAGCTTTAGCTGCAATCCAAGCTGCGCGAGGGCCTTCACCGCGTTCTCATCCCTCAGTCTTTCTGTCTCCTCTTTTGTCGTTAATACAAAGTCATGTTTTAACAATAAACCCCCTTCCTTGAAGTCGTATTCTTTCGCTGTTGCTGCGTCGGCCTTCTCGAAGTCTACTATTAGGCTTTGCTTCACGCCGAATACCGCGTCTGATGTCTCGTATGGGTCACCGCGCGCATAGAGGGCCCTAGTTGCAAGATGTGTTAGTTATTTTCCCCCATTTAATAATAGTAGGAGATAGTCTAGATATTATAAGGTAAGATAGGACGACGGGCTTGTCCAAAGCTGGTCCATAATGAAGTACTCGACTCACGTAATCAAATGATCCCATCCCTCCTTTTCGAACATGAAATGTAAATGCGCGGGCCTCCAGCAATGTCTACCTAGTCTCTCCAGAAGTTTCCCCACGGGGCCATCGTGCGGGATGGGGTAGCTCACGGGCTTGATTCCCTTAAACCAGAAGCGACCCTCGCTGTCGCTCACCATAACGCATCGTTCGCTAGGCTCCCCGCGATTGGAGTGCTGCACGTCATAGTGGCCGCTGCTGTCTGTTTCCCAGATATCAATCTTGACGTCTGCCACCGGTCTTCCTGCTGTGTCTTTTACGGTGCAGATACACAGTAGCGGTTCTCCCTCGGGGTCCGACGCCATGTTTGACCCATTGGGCAGCGTCGGCGCGTCGTGCGTGTGAAAGGGCCCTAGAACCGAGCCCTCGGTCGACGACGGCGGCTTTGGGTGGTTGATACTGTCGACTAATAAGGAGAGGCCCAGAATATCTGAGAGCAGGATGAATTCCTAAATCGGCACACCATCAGATTCCTTGCTAACAGTCTACCCCTTCTAAACTCAAAAAGCGCACTTACATGGCGCACATCGCTACTAATTTGTCCACAGCCCACGAGGAAGTTCAGCGCTTCCATCCACTCGTCTGTACTAAGCCGCGTCTCTCGAGCGAAGTCGTGCAGATGCGTCACCAGCCGCGACATCAAATATCGTAGGCGCGGATTTTGACATTGCGAGTTAATCCGAATCGTATTCGGCGTGATGTTGTCAATCGTCAAGTCTAGAAGCTTTGGTGTAGTTTTGGGGGCAGCCATTATAACAACTATAGAGAGACAAACTAAACAGCAACAGATATCAATAGAGCAAGAGATAGCTAGGAAAGTAATGAACCGATATAATTCAAGATCGAGAGAACTCAAATAGGTCGCGGTCGCTCAGACCTTATGTAATTCTCTGTCACCCCTTGTGCCTTCTATGTGCCATGTCCGGCAGTTGATGGTCGGGACCCTAATGTATGGGGAAGCACACTGGTGGGAGAAGTTTGACCCTGAATAACAGACGACATGATACTACCTAGTCATTGACGCGAGGGCCCGGAGGACCGCATGTTGGAGATATACATCCATTGAAACTCGCCAACTCGCCAACCGTGACGCTTACCTACATTAGACCGATGGTAGCGTTACACGGCGACGAACGAGATATAATTCAACCTGCCTGTACATGCCGATAATAAGAAGTACCCTGTGGAAACTAGGGATTATCGTCACCTAAACGTGGGGTAGTGAGGCAGGGGTAGAGAGAGGGGCAAAGGGGGGGAGGAGTGCGGAGACTTACTTTCGTGATAAATGCTTAGAAAAGGTACGCCAATCAATACCCGGATATTTGCAATAAATGGTAAATGGTCCTCCACTCATTAACCCTTATACTATCTTCTCAGCTTTGACGACAACGACAATTCGTAACTGGTATTATAATAGGGTATAAGAGAATGAATTAAACAGATTTGTCTAATAGAAATATGGGAAAACGTTATTATATGAATCTGTAACACTTAATGAGATCTCAGCATCCAGCTTGACACTGTGGGCCTACAACCATGAAGCATGCTTCTGTTACAATTTTACATGTTTAAAGGTGAAAAAAAGCCATGCTTTTATTAGTGCTATCTTGGCCAGCGTCACTCGCGCACCTGACTGCGATAGAAGAGAGTAAAGTAGAGCAATTATAAAATGTGTCATATCATCATCCGTGTTAAGAGGTTTAAGGTAGCACAATACGCTTCGCTAGGGGAAAAGTGTTAGTAGGCTTAGACGGAAGTCAGTGGAGATTTTCATAGATGGATATAGCCCCTATTCATGCACTACCAACGGTGTAAGATCTATAACCACATAAAAGCTCTATATAAGTATTTTACCTACTTTCGCTCCCATGATTGCTTTATTACAGAACACAGCCCGGCGAGTAAGTAATTGTTGCACTAAATAACGGGCCTATCGGATTAATTTAATAAAGCCACCGTTTGTTAAGAGCGCCGAGCAACAAATCAAACGCCATTTTCAGCTCCCAGAATTAGTGGGCTTGGAGGTTCTGTATTGTGTATCAACGGGGCGTCGTTTGGACGAGAAAAACAGGAAATTGAAAGGACAATATGGAAGAATATAGCGCGGTCTAGAACGTCTCAGCAGGTCCCTAGAGCTTTTCGGTATTTCCAAACAGAGTTGAGCGAAGGGCATGCTGATACAGAACTCCGCCTTCCTAAGAGCAACATTACCAAGGCAATCCAGCCTAGACATATATCACTCAAGTATGACGCAGATACCGGCAATGATGCCCTCTAACATATACAGCAACGGGATGACTGTATACAGCTCTTCTCGACAAATAAAGGACAAAAGTGGCGATGCTGAACTATTGATGCCCAATACCTAACCCAAATTGTAAGCCTTGGGGGCTTGAAAAGCGCTACGGGAAAATTCATTGGTCTCTAATTCAACTTTTACCGGTCATAGTGAGCCTCGTCCATTCACCGACGTTTAGTTATGTTACTTCGGAGGCCGGCCAGAACACATGCTTACTGATATATGCTACCCGCACATACAAGAGATCTCACGGGATTATATGCAACCAATTACAGCTTTGCCTAGCCCTACCGAGAAGATGGTGTGTGCATAGCAGCATTTTTTCCACGTGGCCGGGCTGGGTATTAAGGTCCTGAGATGGGTTCTACAATACTTTCGAGCCTATCCCTTGTGCAATAGGTACACCCACAAGTGGGCTATATCTAGATACGGCAGATCGTAGATGACCTATCACTGGCCGAAGGTGTTTATTAAATCAACGTTTGTGCAACTTATAGATTGCAATATACGTCGTATTTAGCACATGAACCGTAAATGGACCAATTATTGCTATTGACATTGTTGATAGGCCATCGGTAAGTAATAAGGCAAACATATCAAGTCATTTCCCCTACCCGTTCGCACATTGAAACATACGACACAGGACATTAACACCAGCATCGCAGGTGCGAAATCGGTGCCGGTATTGAAAATTACGATGTAAGATGTTTAAACAGCTTCGCCACCGCCACCATAACGACCTCGTTTCATATCCAGCTATAGAGCCGGTAGGAATTGTGTGCGTCTCATTGGTGATAGCAATTAGAGGGGTCAGCAATGCTATGATATTACTGGTAATTACTCTCCGATATATCTGTATTCAAGTCTCATAACTTATTACGCCTAGTGAAATCACCTAACCAATCCCCAATGCCAAATATTCGCCGATGTTTGGTCACTCGACACTTCTAATTGTGAGTCAACAAGCGTAGAATGAAAGGTAGTACCTACAACGGGATTAATGCGGCGGGCAATTGAGTGGCAAAATGTAAATATATGGTCAGAGGCAGCCTATTTTCTATGGTCCCAAATTACAGGACATTGTTTGTTTGTAATTACTTCAAAGTTCGCACAAGAAATGCCTATGGCGGTGCAAAGGACAAGCGCGGGTCAAGACAGCAGCAATTGGAAACAACTATTCTATAAGATATCTAATACAACATCTAAAAATAAGAAACCATTTCTAATTCTATGCCAAAATCCTAAGCACAATAGCCGATCTATGCGAGAGGGTGATCAGGGGGTATAGACAAATAGACGAACGAAGAATGCCAGTAGAAACCATTGCTCCGAAACAAAGTCTTTTTTTTTGTTGGTTTTGGTCTTCCCCCCTTTTTCTATCCTTCCGATTTGCTTTTCATCCCGTGTATGCCCTTTTCCCAATCAATACCCAAGGAAAATAATCCAAGGAAATAAAAAGCACAATAATTGATGCCAGACCCAACCGTGTACACCGTCCGGGGTATATTCGCGTAGGTACCCAATCTCTAGTCTAGGCTTGGGCCAAATATGAAATCTATGTCTAAGTCTATGTCGAAAGTCGAAAACCGAATAGCCGAAAGAATAAATGAATTGAAATATGTCGAGCAATGACTCGTATCGTGCATGTATGAATGTCTTGTCGAAGGATGCGTAAAGAGTAGGTACTGATCATTGTCGTTGTCGTCGTCGTTGGGATTTCATGAGATCCTAGGATCTATTGCCTCGCCGTCAAGAATAAATCTGGTCTTGAAAGTTTATTCAAGCGAACAGTTGCTACATTGAGGGTGATGGTGGCAGTTGACGCACGAAGGCGTCGTAGCGATTTTCATCGGTCCAAAGCCGCATGAGCAGCAGTACCAGGTTTCAGCGCTTGGGGTAGCCATGATGGATGATATAGAGATATCGAGAGAAGTCGTCGAGAATTGTGAGATGGCGAGAGACTTATGTAAAATATTGAGTCTGGAGTGTAGTGTATTGATGATGCCTGAGATATGCTTCCTACGCAGGAATCTAAGGCCATTTTATATTTTTTTGGTACACGTGCAATGTAGAATTTGTTATAGCACGAAGTGCTAGATTTGTGCTCAGCCATAGTGTGTAAACAGACGCATCGTATTAACTCGAAGATACCATTGGGGGTTGCTATATCTTCTAGGACAACACCTATTATTCCAAAGATTGTAGAAACTTACTAACTTTGTGGCTCCTATCCTCGGTGAAAGTAGCGGATAGCTCGCCTTGGAAACAGCTTCACCCCTTGGTATGTCTATTGCTTTGCTTTGCTTTGCGCTGCTATCCAAGCGGGTCCTGGGCGTACAAACTCAGCCATTCGTAGCGAAAGGGCCACAGGGCAAGCATCGTTATACTAATTCTCCGATATAAAATATATTACACTATAAGTCACGGTGAGCTTTCTGAGCGTATCTGGACCTATAGCAAGGTTGGCAGCTCGGTATCACTGTCAGAGTGAGGCGAAGACGTTCTTAGGCGCGGGCGTCGGTCAGGGGGAAGTATAATTCAACGTCATGATAAAATCAATCTGCGGTGAGGTAGCCAGAGAGAAGCAACTATAATAACGGGTACCTGGATGTTCGAACAGCGTTTACGATATGAAACCTATGATCTCACGTGAGTAACGGGTAGGGCTATGCAGTCGGGGCTCGAGCAAGTTTGATTTATTCAGACTCATCTTCAATTTTTCCCTCCTGAGCCCTGGGTATAATCTTCGTTGGAAAAACTGATCTCAAGTTACTCAATAGTGGTTGTTTACCCGTCGAATGACTAGACTGAGCCACCAGGACATAGTAGACTAAGTGCCCTGATATGAGCTGCGCCCTTGTTTGGAGACTGGATTCGGCGGTATCCGAATATTAAACCATGTAGATTCGTCATACTGTCCTTGTATACAATAACATTTAACGTCCAAAATTTCCATTTTACAGTCGTGGATTTAAATTGTGTAATTCGAATTAGGTGGTACCTTAGGCAGATTTGTTGGCATCTAGAATGTTTCCATGTAGTGCCGTTTTTGGGGCTGTAAATCTATTGGTACCTAACCTAAGGTAACACATAGCAGTCAGCATTTAGTAATAAATGTATTTTCCTCTATCAACTGTAAAAAAAGGGAGAACAACTCTAGTTTGGACAAACCGGTTTAGCTCGAGGCGGAGTTAATCGCCCGTCGAAGTGAATACGATGCGCCCGATGAAATATTTCGGTGAATAGGTATCGACCTGGATGATAATTAGCCTATGCTTGGCATGCGACGTTAAGTTCGGTGAGTATAGGCATCCCATAGTCATCATCATCATATACTCACCGAGCCTAAGCTAGGTAAAACAACAATAAAATTGTCGCCAAAACTATCAATTGACAACCGCCAAGGAGGTAATATGGTTATTATGATCGCATCTCCAAGAACCGCTGTTATGCGCAGTATGAATTGGAAACATCGTAAATGAATCGATAACGCGATCTATTCGTCGAGATGTCTAGGTTGGTAGTTACTCGAATTTGAATTTATATCTGGAATGCGTATAATGCTGAACGAAACGATAGTTAGTTATTGTTTCTTCGGGTAATACCTAACTAAGTACACCCTGAAGATTGTTGAGACTCTTGTTGGAGGAAGCAATGGAATAGGGGCATTTCGTGGAAGTATTAAATAGATAGATGATAGTAACCTAAATTCAGTTCATCCCAAGTAGACAGCCAGTTGAACGGGAAAGACGAGCCTTTATAGACAACGCTATTTTGGCTACCTCGGCATATAGGGAGCCTATTCAGCCGCATCACACCATGGTTGAGCCGCACTAACCACACAACTGCGACGCGGCCTGTGACTCGCCTAGAAGATCTTATGATGTCTTCTTCTATTATTATAAAAGGTTGCCGGGGTAATCCCTAAGGCTCGCAGTTGTGTGTGATGGTGTGGCTCTCTCGTTCCCCATGAGGCTCGATTTGATGTCAATCATGACTCTTCTCAGCTGATAGACAGCACCATTGTGCCTTTCCGCTGAGGCATCAGTTCGCTATCAAGTTAGTCCAGCGTGGGGGTGTTCCCTGAAAGAGACTTTGTACTGGGAAAATAGAGGAATGCACCTAGCCAATTGTAAGGTGCACATTGCTGTGTTCTCCTATATTCATCGCCGTTCTTCCCATGCGAGTGTCTTAGGAGTAGTGTTATAGAAATAGGGGCTAGATTAGAAGCTGTCGATATTGCGGCTATTTCTGCATGAAGGTTAGGGTCGCCGAGGGAAAAGGAGAGCCTAGAAGCTGAGGCACAAACTCGCAGGAAGACCAAATGCGTGTGAACAACCAAACCAAGATATTAATTTCCACAGCCCTTTAATCGAACATTATGGCAATCCTTATCGAATTCACTTACGTGTGAACCCGCGTCGTAGGTTTTTACACTTCGACTTCCCCATGCTCTAAATGTCGACGGAAGGGATACAAGAGGGGTATAATGAAACCATAGGTAGCCTATCAAGATACATTGTGTTGGATTTCCATGCAGGCCATCGGGATGCAAGTATCCAATCGACGTCGGGTAGTGACACAATAGGAGGCGTTTGGCTTTAGTGATAGCTAGGAGGTAGTTGAGATCTAGGTATATAAGATTAGGTGTATTGAGGTTAAGACTTTAGGTATATGGGGGACGCACGAAACTTATCTCCTACATACATATGTAGGTTATAAAGGGTGTCGTTACCTGAAACATCCCCCGAGTCCTAGGGTTACGCTTAGCAGGAGCAAGGCTTGTCAGCTAGAATTAACGCCTTTAGGCGGATTTCCATGTAGGATCTAGGGATTTATTACCCCCTGAGAGGCTGAAGTACGCCTACGTATCTTGCGATTCTCAAAGCTGGTACTTTCGGACGGCATAACCCGATGATAGTATATTCATAGTAAGTAGTTCATTGCTTAAAATCATAGGTTAGTTCAAACCTGAGTATTTCTTTATGAGTTCGCCTTATCACGACTCGTTTTTGTGGTTACTTGGGAACTCCCTTTATTTCAATTCGAAGTAACAAGGGTTAACCTTGAAAACCGAGCGGGACCCCTTGCTTTAATAGCACATGTTATAATAGGATTGGCCAATATAGCTACAAGAACAACTTCAAACATGGACGAGTTCTACTTTGTTCTGTAGGGAACTTCTTTTAACCTTTTAACGAAGAACAAGTTAAAAGGCTCTCGAAATACATTAACTTCATCTTTCATCAACCCTAATAAACATTGCAGCCCCCATATTATATTGTAGGGATCCTCTCATGCGTTGTGAAATACTCTCAATTCCCTTAATTGATAAGTCCGATAGGTCTTCATGCTCCCAGCCTTTATTCTGGATCAGGAAAGGGACGAGGCTAGATGATTTCCAAGACGCCATATCTCCTCTTTTAGTGATATGTAAAGTAAGAACTAGCAGTATCAGTCCCATCAGAACTTCTACTAACGGTAGTATGACCCATGGCCAGCTTACGCTTATGAATTGTTCAAATGTGATGGCGTCGCCGGCGATCTGAGTGGCGTTGTGGCTGTCCCCAATCGCGTATGTCATGCTCTCCGTGATATTGCGTACAGTCTCTTCGATACTAGGAGAATTCATCAACGCCCTACCAAAGTCCTGCTCATCATAGGACGAGAAAATCCCTGCGAGATAGGCTCCAATGCGATTATAATCGGTTGGATTTATGGTGAAGATGTTGTTCCGCTGTGGGTTTCCCGCGTCAGATGCGATAGAGAATTTTAAGAGACATCCTACATTTTGATTACCGGCGATAGACTCGACATAATCGAGTGCAAGTTCATCGAGTACTCCCAAGGACATAGTACCGTTCTCCACCGAGAGGTTTCTATATATTCGGGCAGACCATTCGATATAACACTCCGTTATTTCCGGGTTGTCCATCGTACGTTCGAGTAGATTAGCGGTTGCAAAAGTGACGATGGTACTACCGTGCAAACCATCTGAATAACATTCGTCAACAGAAGAAGTTTCTCGTGCAGTTGAATTAAAACTCGGTTGATAGCCACCGCCAGAACTCTCATGACTCGATGTTTGGATAATAAAGCCATTAGGTGTCATATAGTCACAGGACCGGCCAGCGCTCGGAAGTCCATCCTTACAAGTAATTTTAGTCCCAGATGTAGCATTTTTGCAGTGGCTCGTAACAGCTAAAGTAGTAAATTCCGGCCATACACAAGTCCCAGTAGGACATCGAAAGTGTAGCGGGGCGTTGATGGTATATAGTCCATTTAGAATAGCTCCCTGCATCTTAAGGTCCATATTACGCTCTGGAAGCTCTATTAGTTAGCGGTTTTAAAAAATAAAAAATAAAAAAAAGCCGTGCTTATCAACGGACTCGTTTGTTAATGTTCGAGAATCAGACTTACCTGGTATCCAGGTACCAGTAACGCCCGTCCAAGCGCCGGAGCTATACATTTCCGCGCGACCAAATGAGGCTACATCGGGGATGCGAATTGACCTACTCGGGTAGGAGAGCATCTGTTGGCTAAAAGGGTCTATACCGAATGAACTGATCATAGGAAGGTTAGCGAGTTTCCTCCTAATACATACCTGTCATAACTTAGGATAACAAGTAAGCGGCATACATACAGGATCGTTATTAGAGAAGCTGCCGCTGCGAGCTTAGCCTTGATATTCATATGCCACAGCAACACCAAAGCGCCCCAGGGCCCTCTGCTCGCAAGATCGAAGATCTCCATACGGTATAAGCTCGCGGCAGACTTGGTGAAATAAATCCACTTTAGCTGACTGATGCACGACGCGACGGAGACGAGGAGAGAAGCCCTGGAGAGGCCGGAGAGTATGGACACAAAAGAATTCAGACTGATTCGAAAGATGAAATTCCAGCTTGAAAGCTCTTTCCCTTGAAAAGCGTATAGGACCGCCACGACCGCCGTGGTACAGCCTATACTCAAGACCGCGGCGCCAAACTCCCAGAGCCAATCCCTCAGTCTAAACCGTTTCCTCTTATCTACTTTAGAGAGACTTGTACTGATAGATCCGTTCGTATCTGTGGATAAATTTGATGAAGCATTACTTGTTGTCGCGGTAGTTACGTCTGGTGGGTACGCGTTAGGGATATACGGGATATCAAGGCTAGGCGCGGTAAGCGCAACTCGCTCAGGCTCGGGGCCTGATTCGGCGACGGCATGATTTAGATGTATAGGGGTTGGATCCGCTACCCAAGGACCGTGCTGTAACGAACTTCGAGGACTGTCGTCGAAACTAAGAGTAGGTAGAGACTGGTATCTGTTGTTCCTTGTAGTATCGTCTGAGGACATTTTTACTTCTGGTAATGGGGGAGAAGATATTTTACGTGACACTTACTGATCTGACTTTAGATAAAGCCGTTTAAGCTATTATAATAAAGCTCAAACGTTACCTAGGCAGATACTAATATTCATGCTCGAATAAAACCCGGGTGGGAAATAGTAGGTAGCAAAGATCACACAAGTACTCCCAAGTCATCGTTTCAGTGTGGCGTGTTTCCAAGTTTCTCAAGTTGCACCAAGTTTATATTGGTTGATATAAGGAACGATACCGTCACACGAGAGGTTGATTACCTAGCTGACTGCACTGGTGTACCTAGCTGAGCCCGTAATGGTTACCTAGCATGATGCCTCGAGCTAAATATAAAAAGAGAAGGGGCTATAATTACTATTTCAAAAATAGCACCGGTGATACCTGTAATACCACGTCAAGTAGACTAAGGAATATAGGTATAACGTCGCCGTAGAAATTCTTGAGAAGAGATAAAAAGGGGTAATAGGACTTGTTAGACAGAATAAGTACTAGGTAGGTAGGCAAAAATGCAAAACGTACAACACCAGGTATTCGCTGGTCGTCACCGACCCAACTACTAATCCGGCGGTATCTAGCTTGTCCAGGGGAGAGCGGACGGGATCCCGAATTTTCCAGATCCTATGGTCGTACGTGGAAGTTGAAGTGTTTTGTTGTGTTATATATCGTGTAACTAATTGTTGCCTGTTGCCGGGTTTCCGACTAGACTTCTTGGGCACTACCTATACAAATAGAACTAACATTCCAGCAACTAGTTTAGAAACATTCTAAGAACTATTAGCATTATTATGCATTTTTAGCAAGCGGTGCATATCTATAATCAGTAGCTATCAAATATCATTGTGCAAATATGTCCTTAAGTGCCAGCGAGACACGGTGGAGTATCTCTTAAAATCAAAGTAGTCTGATTTGTTCAAATAGTTCACCATTAATTTAATTTTGATTGGACATACTAGGTAGATTTACTCCACCATGTCTCGCTGGCACTTGAGGACATAGCAATTCTATAGATGTCACTAATAAATTACTGTGGGCTAAGATACTATTATCGTTCTTAGACTTTAGCTTACCTCAACCAACTCTATAGCATACATCTATATTCTTATATACCTACACTTATATAAAGCTCCTAAGCCTATTAGGCGATTACTTAAATATCTTCCAATAGACATAAAAGGGGTTTCCTATTATTCATCTTTCTTCTGGAATGCCTCGTTAACTGCATAATTACATATGTAAATGGGTTATTGTTGGGAAGGAGCTGCCCACTTCAGGTATCGTGAAACTGAGGGGCACACTTACCTCAGGTACCTATGCATTGTACATAGGTCCTCGGCTTCACCGCAATCTTAAATTCTCCTCATTACCTACTAACCTACACATCACATCTTCCTCTCTAGACCTATTCAGATAGATATCGTACATAGCTTCACCTCTGGTCATTCTTGTTACTGTTTTTCTGACAACTTACTTTTGAAGCTTCTCTGATTCGCTTATAATTGGCCCGCTGCTGTGGCTCAATTCTCAATTGGCTGAATTCATCCTTTGCCCTATCTCATAAGCTCACCTGAATCCTTGGAATTTCTGTAGGATGCAGTGTTCAGTCGCAACGAGTGAACCCCAAGCTTAGCCATCCACTTGTTGCTCGTGATTTCGCATCACGCCACGGTGTCCACCGATAGTCTTGACCGATAGTCTTGGACTGGAAATTAACTAACTTAGTACTTTAGGTATTCCGATCGTTGCTCGTGTTGCTGAGAGAAAGTGATCAACTTGCGAGGCAAGCTGGGAGGAGTACAACTCAATTGTGGTGCCAGTATCAACCCCGGCTTTTTTTCTCTGGCCACGGGGACAAAATCAAATTGATGCTGCTAGGCTAAAAAACAGTACCAAACGAAGCGAGGCATTGGATCTAGACTTGGTTTGGTTTCCTGCAGGGGTGGATCTCCATGATATCATCGCATCCGTTGCAAACGACCCTAGCCGAATCTGCAGGTGGTGCTCATATACGGCCCGGTTACCAATAAATCCAAGCTTGTCTGCGTTATTATTTGCCCGATAAACCCAGTCACCGCGAGCCGGTCGTTTTCGTAGGGGTATTGGACAGTACATTGGACAGTACCTGATCGCGCGACATCTGCAGCCCGGGGAACGGGGTCGCCCTTGTGCCTTGATGACGATTCTCCGCCGAGTCTCCAGACTATCACGTTTAACCCCACTAAAGCCCCGCGAAACTCGCCGTGGCTTTCATATTGTCTAAGTACATTAAAGCCTGGCGCTTCAGCGCCAGAGCTGAAGATGATCCCTCGTCAATCTGCGTTGCTGCATCGCATGACGATAACACTGACGATAACACAAACGATAACTATATAAAGGACAAGAAGGCCCGACAGAAAGACGATAAGGCGGAGATCCGGCATTCTGTTACATCCATCCGCATATTCTCACTGTTCGTTCTTATCCTTGTGCTGGTAAGTGGGATTTTTTCCATAGACCCACGGCTTGGTATACATAGTAGTGAGGTAAATAGATAAAAGCCTACAGGTTACCTATGTGGTGCCAACGGCCCCTATTACTTAACCTAGTACACACTACGTCGTACTACCTTCATCCTTACAACATATTATACATATCATATGAGACTCGGCCCCGCATCGAAGCATTTAGACGCAATTGGGGTTCTCTTTGCTAATTGCCCCTCCGACTTATAGGCCGCGCAACTTTTCCTCACGAACGCCAAATTTCAATACTCGCGTATCCTCACATCACCCCCTTTCGCTCGTATTCTCTCGTCTCCTCTTGCCGTTGCAGTCCAAGAACCCGTGTGCGAGTCTCCTCAACCATTTCCTACTGTCCCTCCCGTATCTCGCGCACGCACAATGGCGCTCGCACAAGAGACGAAGCGCATCACCGCGCAGTTTAACTACACAGACGAAGATGTGAACAAAGGCGTCAAAGAGTTCCTCCGGCAAATGGGTACGACTGTGTATTAATCATATTTGAGAATTTAGCTAATATAGTCGTAGACGAGGGCTTAAAGCAAGACGGCACGAGTTTGAGCCAAATACCTACATACGTCACTGGCGTTCCCAATGGCACTGAAAAGGTATGTCCGGTATCCTCAGTGTTGCTATCCATTCGCTTACATAGGAAAGGGGCTATACCTAGCTGTCGATCTAGGAGGCACAAATTTCCGAGTCTGTTCTATTCATTTGAACGGCGACACCACCTTCAACCTGACATACAGCAAAGTAGCAATCCCGAAAGAATTAATGGTCGCAAAGCAAGCTAGCGACCTATTCTCATTCTTAGCTAAGCAGATCGAGCTATTTCTCAGAACTCACCATGAAGACCATTTCGAAGCTCACGTGCGCCGGCGGCAGACAGTAAGCACCCCAGAAGGTTACCGGGACGAGCAGATATTTCGACTTGGCTTCACTTTCAGCTTCCCAGTCCAGCAGTATGGAATTAACAAGGGAACTCTTATGAGGTGGACCAAGGGTTTTGACATCCCGGATGCTGTTGGCAAAGACGTATGTGCTTTGCTCCAGCAGGAGATTGATAGGCTTCGCCTCCCTGTCAAAGTGGCTGCTCTGGTGAATGATACTGTTGGTACGCTTATGGCTCGCTCTTACACTTCTCCGGGCAAAACACCTACTCTGCTCGGCGCCATCTTCGGAACGGGAACCAATGGTGCTTACGTGGAGAAACTTTCCAATATTAAAAAGCCCGTCCCGGGCGATTACGACAAGTCAACGGGTCTGATGGTCATAAATACTGAGTGGGGCTCCTTCGATAACCAGTTGAACATATTGCCGAATACTTCGTACGACATAGAATTGGACAAGCAGAGCGTGAATCCGGGCATCCAGATGTTTGAGAAGCGGGTATCTGGCATGTTCTTGGGCGAGATCGTCCGTCTGGTAATTGTCGATATGCTCAAGAGACCCGAGATCTCGTTGTTCCGTGATGAGAACTCCAGCCACAACGATTGGAAATCCACCACCACGATAGGCCCCGAGTCCGGAGTGTTCAAACAATGGGGCCTCGACAGCTCGATAATGTCTATTGCCGCAGCTGATAACACGCCGGATTGTTCATCCATTCGTCAGGAACTCGAAAAGGAATTGCAAATATACGCTGCCTCGCTCGAAGACGCTTTGACATTCAAAGAGGTAGCATATGCTGTTGGACGTCGGGCGGCGCGGCTCTCTGCCGTCGCTATTGGTGCGATCGTCCTACAGAGTGGTGAGCTTAATAAGCCGGATGAGCCGATCGACATCGGCGTTGACGGCAGTCTCGTTGAGCATTACCCCTTCTTCCGGGACATGATCTACGAGGCGCTCGCTGTAATTGAAGGTATTGGTCCGGAGGGAGCAAAGCGGATCCGCATCGGAATCGCCAAGGACGGCAGCGGTGTCGGCGCAGCTTTGATCGCGCTTGTTGCTGCGAATATGGAAAAGAAGGGCGTTGTGGATTACTTGAATTACATCAAAAATAGTGTAGTTGAGAAGGCCATAAGCGCGATCCCGGAGGTTGGAGAGCCGACAACGATAACATGACGAACACGACTTCTAATACGAAAAAAATGGGTGTTTATATACCTACAATCATGACCTAATGCAATAAATATTATGAAAGTTATATGCTGTGTTGATAATTGCTAGGATATGCTTAAACAAGGCAATATAGCCTTATGAAGTATTCGGATGAATTTTAGCCATACAAGAGACAGGTTCCTTGCGTGATACCCCCCTATTGATGTATTATCTGCGCCTGGGCCTGTAATATGAGACTCAATAACAAATAAGTCCATCACGTATTTTACTGAATAACACCATCGATTTTTAAGGGGTTATGAACATGTATAGACGGCCTCGAGGCCTGGATTCTTATTATTTTCTTCTCTATACAGTACGACGGGCTATACAAAACCACCGCGACTCAATTCGGCTCAACTCTGCCGCGCAACATGAACAATATTTTCACCAATACCACAAATGTACTATGCATAAATTACCGGCTCCTTTGCCTTGCCTTTTCATACCTTTCCATGCTTATCTATTGCAGTCTTGCGTACGTAGACGGCAAACTTGCACTAAATATATATATATAGGTAGGTATATATAACCGTCAAACTCGTTACTCGTTTCCTCTCTTATTGATAGTGAGATCTTTCGTGTCCCTTGATAAACCCCGTGGGACCCCGGATTATCTGTTAAAGGTCGGGCCGTGAGGACAGGTAGATATCTACCTACTTGCCGAAGGCAGCAGCTGGGTACGCGCGGTCCTTCTTCTTCCGTGGAGCTGTAGAGCTACTCCGCGAACTTGCGTTACTAGCTGAGCCGCTGGCCGTAGCTCGCGAGGCGTGCATGTCTGCTGGCAAGTCGTTCCACTCCGTCTCCGGCCGCGCGTTCTGGAATGACAATCCTCCGGCACCAGGGCTGCGGTTCGGCGAGGGCCCGTTGCTCCTCGGCGGTGCTGAGAGCGTACCCGTCCCCGAAGTAGCTGCGAGAACCGGCGGCGTCGGAGCCTGCTGGCTTAGAAGATTGGCTGCTGCGGCTGTGGTACTCGGCGGAATCGTCGTTACCACTCCCGTACTACTCGATGTCGCTGCACCGTTCAACCCCAGGGCCGAGGTAACGGGGCCAATGCTGCGCCTCACGATCCAGGCACTGTCGGGTCGCAGCTTGAAGTAGTAACCGTTCACCTGGCCGTGCTTGGTAAAGCCGCGCGCCAGGTACCAGCGCAAACCATCCTCATTATCAGTCCACACGTGCGCGTACACCTCATCACAGGCGAAGGGGCTCGCGACCGCGGCTCGCACTACATCGTCTAGTAGCGCCGCAGCGAGCCCCTGCTGCCGATACGGTGAAAGCAGGACTAGAGATTGGATGTACAGCGCGTTTGGCTGGGAGGAAGGAGTCGTGGGTTGCGACGGGGATTTCCTCGAGGACGAGGACGTAAACGGGGATGGCTCGGGCCGGCAGACTAGACCCCCGATAACTTTGGGAGTGCCATTGGAGTCAGACGGGTCAGACCAGAGAACCACGCGGCTGAATGCGCCGGAAGAGAGCGGGTCGGAGAGACGCGCGTAAAAGGAATCGGGATAGTTGACGGGTAGGAGGAGAGAGGTTATGCGTCGTAGAGCAGGGACGTGTTCGGGTAGAATTGGTGAGATAGTCGCTTGAGGGTGAAGGGATGGCGGCTTTGTTAGTGGTGCAGTCGTGGGGACTGGCGACAGCGGTGATCTCGGGCCATTCTGTTCAGCTGTTGGAAAGGGGACGGCGGCTACCGACGGCGGCGGTGGAGGAGCAGGAGGTGCTGCCTGTGCCCGGGAGATGGCGGGGGGCTGAACGTATGATGGCGTCTTGGGCTGGAAGAAATTCCGGATTGAAGATTGCCCATTGGCGTTAGTGGAGGGAAGAGACATGTTTGTTCCAAGTTAAATATCCGATACTACCGTTGTCAGCTGAGAGAGAAAGAATTTGTTGCCATGGCACGAGACCATAAACATGAAAATACTTGAATTGCGGCTTACATAGGCGAGACCGCGTTAAGTGCCTTACGGGACCTCGGGCTCGCGCGGCGCATGTACATACATACCTACCTAGGTACCTAGGTACATTAGTAACCTAGGGATTACCTAACAAAAAGAGAGAGAAAAAAAAACAATGGCTTGGCGATTATCGATAACTAGCTCTCCACTGGGGACAGCTTACACTTAGTTATTTTAGATACTGCTGTAAGTTGACGCTACTGTTTCTTTGATTTACAGGTGTTTTACATGGCTTACGAGGAGGAAAAGAAAGAGTTTGTGATCCTGTCATAACTGTCATAGCATTCTAAATCTAAAAACACTCGTTTGTTTTATTTTGAACCCAATTTATTAGAGTTCCTACCCACCAACCTTAATAGGTATTATACGTTGAGGTACTCAATGTACAAATTCAGGTACTGCATGGTATTACGTAGCGCACCTTAAAAGATCCGGGACCCTTCTAAGTTCTGCCTCACTAATGCATGGGGATTCCAGTTAGTTGATTCGTTATCACGGCTAGTTCTGTACTACATTGTCAGGCTTGCGGGTCGAAAAGTCAGCCTCCGGTTAGGTACATATATAGTATTAACTATTTGGAAGGGACGTTTACCTGGATCCTTCTCCCCGTCTGCGCCTGAAAGGGATCAACGATAAAGAAAAAAGAAAAAGAGGATTCCTCAAAAATAAAGTTTAGGTACCTACCTACCTATCTACTACATAAGCAGCATCACCGGTGTTTTAACACCGACAGACAGCAATCGCAATTGAGGTCGCTCCCTGACCTGCTGAATGCTGAATTAAAACAAACGCCAAAACCTCCAAAACTTTAGGGGGTTGTATTCTGGTATTTAGAGGTGGATACCATCTACTTGAACTTTTCCCCTACTTTTAATATTTCCGATCCAAACGCCAGCATTTCCATTTATCCCTCCTCTGGAGTCTGGTTTCGCGTAATTTGTCAGCCTTTGGGATCTCCTTCATTTCTAGCCAAGTCGTCAATACATTTGATATATTTCGACGTCGGCACACGGCCGCGCTGAGTGTTCGCCATGGCCTCATTCAATACCGGCAAGGCTGGAGTTATTAAAGCTCCAGAAGGTGCCGGGAGAATGGACCAGCTTGTGAGTTGACAGTTTACTTCGTACATTTTTTATAACATCACATCTCCCAACATAACTACCTATTATTACAACCCAAGCTATACAAATGCAGCTGACCACGTCGTATTATAGGCGCATGCTATTCTTGACGATCTACTCTACAACATCGTGCACGATTTATTACTGCAGACGCATCGAGAGGAGAAGATCGCCCGCGCCTCAACCGCTGCTATTCGCGTCGAGAAGCTAGCCGCCGATACCTCAGATTCCTCCGCCCCAGACGCTCGGCCAGACGTCAAGGTCGAAACAGACGCGGCTGTTTACGACGAAGGGAAGGTATTATTGAAAGGGAACCCGCTGGCTACCACTAAGGACATTGTCTGCCCAAGATGCCACCTCCCAAGATTATTATATCCTACAGATGGCAAAGGAGCAAGGAAACCTGACCCGAGTATAATATACTGCAAGAAACACCCGTACATCGACAAGCCCGGCTACGACATCTACGGTCAAACATGGGTTGCACAAGGCCCAGGGAGGGGGAAGAAAAAGAAGGACATGGAGAAGAAGCTAGAGCAAAACTCAGACTCACAGACGCCAGTTCCAGAAGGAGGAACAGGCGGAGGTGCTGCCTCGCGGCCCCCAAATATGCTCTCATTCCCGTCGGCAACCTGCAGCAAATGCAAGCGCTGCATCCTGGTCACCCGCTTAAATAACCATATGGGTTCATGTATTGGAAATAGCGGGCGTAATGCTAGCCGTGCGGCCGCGCAGAAGATCAGCAATGGCAACAACACGAACGGAAATGCCGATGGCACTCCGCCATCTAGTCAAAAGGGTACTCCTCACCCAAGCTCCAGGGCCGGCAGTCCCCATAAGAAGAGAGACAGTGACGAGATAGAAGATGACGACGACACAGACAATGACTCGCACAAGAAGAAGAAATTGAAGCCTACGCCCGCAAATGCGGCCAACAAGAAACTGATCCTCAAGCAGAAGAACGCTTCTAGCAACAAGAAAGAAAAAGTTAAAACAAGCTCCTCACTGAGTGTAGAACAGAAGGTGGACGATGATGATGCGGAAGGATCCACCGTAGAGGTTGCCCCGAAGAAGAAGATGACGAAGGTGCCTAGTCCGGCGAAGAAGCTGAAGTTAGGAGTGTCGAAACCAATAATATCATCGCCTATGTCAAAGAGCAATGGTAAGACTTCGGCTCCCAGCGGTGGAGGAGATGATGACCGCGAGTCTGAAAGCTCAGGAACATTATCATCTCCACCTGTTGTATAGTCGAGGAATGATTTCTCGATGGGATATTAGACAAACCACGATACCCTCCATCATGAAACACCATAGACATCAATTATACAACGAGAATTCCGGGAATTTGCCTCCGCCCGGCACCTTCGCAACTTTCTTATACACTGGCCGCAGCACTGCATTCAAGGGGTTCCGGGGCTATATCGTCAGCGAGCATAGGGGCTGGGGTTAGGCAATGTGCTGCATCTGATCCAGATAGGGACATCTGGCGTGCATTATCATCATCTTCATCATCAAACTGTATCTTTAGAAGGCTTCTTTTGCACATATGTAATACGAGCCGTCTGGCGGCTAGTGCGAGGGCTTACAGTTGACTCGTACATATATACCACGAATGTTATGTGATTTGGTATCTCTGATCTCTGATCTCTGCGTCTAACCCGTGAAGCCTTTTTCAAACTCCTAAACGCCAATTTATGCATATCATACATGCCCGTGACCACAATATATTATCCTCGCGATAGATGCAACGAATATGACTATAAGTTTAGTTACTAGACGACTTCCTCATCATCAAGCACCCTCGCCCTAATAATCTTTACTTCCTCGACAGGCCTATCATCGGCACCCGTCTTGACCATACCCAAGCGCTTCAAGACGGCCAGGCCGGCCTTCACGCGGCCGAAGATGGTGTGCTTGCCGTCGAGCCAGGGGGTGGGGGCGAGGGTCAGGAAGAACTGGGAGCCGTTGGTGTCCTTGCCGGCGTTGGCCATGCTCAGGACGCCGGCGCCGGTGTGGCGCAGGTCGGGGGCGATCTCGTCCTCGAACTTGTCGCCGTAGATGGAGGCGCCGCCGCGGCCGGTGCCGGTGGGGTCGCCCGTCTGGGCCATGAAGTTGGGGATCACGCGGTGGAAGACGCAGCCGTCGTAGTAGCCGCGCTGGGCGAGGGTGCGGAAGTTGGCGCATGTGCGGGGCGCGTGGGTCGTGTAGAGCTCGAGGGTTATGGTGCCCTGGGGAGAGGATGTTAGTGGGAGAAGAGTGCAGATGTGTGTGTAGAGGTATACGTACCATGGAGGTCTCGAGGGCGACGTTGGTAGTCATCTTGGGCTAGATACCTGGTATATGAGATCACAAGCTTCAGCGTCACGTCAATTGAAGCTATTTTGAAGCTCCAAAAGATCGAGATTCTAATTTGGAGCTTTGGAGGGGCTGCACCTCGAGTATTCAATTGGCCGCTTTCTGAGTCATGCAGTTATCGGTATTTCTTAATACGGAAGGCAGTGGCAGATTCTGATGTGTAGTCGCAATTGCCTTGCGAACAAGCCACATTTTAGGTCATCCAGGTACGTAGATTTCGAACGACCTGCTACCTTATCTTCGCGTCTTTTACGAACAACACCTTTTTATGAGCTACAAGATATTTTATTTTATTTTATTTATGTCTCAAGCATAAATATATTCTCATGCTTGGGAGTTTCCTCCATTTTCCTTCAAGACACAAATTATGTGTGGTACCTAAGCCAATGCACCCAAGATCTGCGCAGTTCTTTAGGTGAAGACTCCTATGTAGATGCTACATACGTTTTCACGGCTTCTCCCATACTCTCATTCACCAGCTGCTAAAGGCTTCCGAGAAACCATTGATGCATAAAGCATTTGATATCTCACTTGACCTTTGTTAGGATACCTGCGCCAAGTTTAAAAGAGCAGAGCTAGTCTGAGGATTCAGGCTTCGTTTTATGCTGCATAAACAAAATTCATACAACAGCCTCTCCTTCGTTCTCGGTGTCATTGAACACGAACTTTCAGATCACGACTCCAGCTCATATTACTTAGCCTCTATTTGGTCTCTATACCCAATTCAACATGGCTAGTGACAATTCGACTCTTCTCGCGCCGAGCGAGATCTCGGCCGCAAACGTGACAGAGTCTTTAGCAGCCAGTCAAACTCTCACGGAGAAACTCGCCAGCCTACCAGGAATCCTCTGGGATAATAAGGATTTTTTCCTTCTCGAGGGCCGCATAATCTTTACGGCAATGGCTTGTATTTACATTGGGTCTCAAGCCTCCCTTCGTCGCCCTCCGTCTGCAAATCCTGCCAAGAAGGGTAAGAAAGGAGGTCGGAAAGATCAAGACAAGGAAGACGAGCTCGTCCAAGGCCTTCTACCTTCTGATGCCATTCTGCTCCCTATCATGGCTGGGACGGTCCTCACAGGACTCTATTACTTGATCAAGTGGCTCGACGATCCGGAGATCCTCAATAAGATATTAAGAGCATACTTCTCGATCATGTCCCTAGTCGCCATGGGGAAGCTCCTTGCTGACTCACTGAATTACATTACTGGGTTTATATTTCCTACCGTGTGGCTTGCAAAGAACGGCAAGCTGTACCATATTGACTCCTCGAAAAGGGGCCAGTGGTCTGTTGATGAGGACTCTGCTGAACAGGTATGGGACGACAAGAAGAAAAGTCCTCTTCCATATTGGTGGTCTGAGTTGGGTGTTTCCGATGCGACGAACAGTTTACTTTGGGAGATCCGTCATCTACTTACGGAAGAATGGACTATTCGTTTCTCAATCCATGCCATCACGAATCAGAAATTTGAAATCAAGTTTAATGATATTCTTGGTATTGTCCTTGCCATTCAAGCGAACATAGTATACTATATGACGCAGTCAACCTTCCTATCCAACCTCATGGGCTATTCCTTTTGTTACACCGGCATCATCTTGATGTCTCCGACCACGTTCGCCACTGGAACTGCTGTCCTTTTCGGGCTCTTCTTTTACGACATTTACATGGTTTTTTATACGTAAGTCTCTTGTGCTATATCTTTACTTATCATAATTCACTCCGCTCACATGCAAATACAGCCCTTACATGGTAACGGTCGCTACAAAGCTTGACGTTCCCATCAAACTTGTCTTCGGAGGGCCCGCTAAAGCTAGCATGCTCGGACTGGGTGACATTGTACTTCCTGGGATCTTCGTAGGGCTGTGTCTGCGCTTTGACCTCTATATGTACTACTACCGGCAACGAAAGTTTGTTGCCGTGGAGTTGAAAAGTAAGGTTGAATCCTCGGGCCAACTCACCACCAGTACGGAGAAACAACGCATGGTGGTCAAGCCGGATTACGTGAACCCACAAGGGCAATGGGGAGATTGGTTCTGGAGTACAAAACTTGGCAAATTATCAGCAGATGCCACGCCCGCATTAAAAGCTTCAGCATTCCCTAAACCGTATTTCTACTCGGCTTTACTCGGATACTTGCTCGCTATGGTAGTAACTTTGGTTATGCTGTTAGTCTACCGCCACGCACAGCCAGCATTGCTATACCTTGTCCCTGGCGTTGTTTTCGCCGCTTGGACTACGGGCCTATTCAGAGGAGAACTTCACGAGATGTGGGGATATACAGAAGACGGTAGTCTAGATACCGCAGATACAATAGTGGAAGTTAATGGGGAGGGGAATGTCATTAGCGTAGTTCAAAGCAAAAACGAGCCCAAGGATAAGAAGAATGACGATAGCAAGAGGGGCGACAAACCAAAAGATGGAGGGGATAACAGGGCTAACGATGATGCTTCCCCTGATGTGAAGTCGACCAAGCAGAACACTCCCCCCAACAAAGGGGTTGGGGACAAAGGCGAGCTTGAGGCTGGGAGGGGACATAAACTCGAGGCCAAGAAGAGTAAGGGTTATCCTGTTTTCCTTTTCTCGATTGAGGTTCCAGCACCCAGCGAAACTAGCGATTCATAGAGGTACAGATTACATTTGATATGGACGTTGTCATAGGCAATGATGCTACATAGCTACATTTGTAAAGGCCTAGCACCAAAATGACTAAATTGGCGTTTCCCAAATAGCTTTTGGCTAATCACGTCGTATCAGTATTACTTGAATGGATTGCCAAAGTTTATAAGGGGCTAGTATATCAAATTTTCCCAAAGGCCCGAATAGGAGAATAACTCAATAAGCAAACATTCATGTACGCGTAAGATAATAAGAGAACTAATTGGAAGTATGGTCTGTATGTATGGGTGTAGGTTTGGCATTTTAGTCGAAAACCAATTCCAAAGGCCCGAATAGTCTTATTTTCGTAAAACAGAGTTAGGTAAAAGGCCCGTATATAGTAACTGCTGAGGTATTTATTTTACTTCATATTTTGGGTGGAAGTTAATATGAAGCACGGGATTCAACGGTTTATCGTAGGCCTAATGCGAGGAATTGGTGTATAATATCGACTATAAACATACTGTTTTCAAAATTTACCCAAGTTAGTTTGGTATCAAAACGTTTCGAAGCTAGTTTAATATAAATTTGAGGTAGCTAGGTAGTTATTTATGCTAGAGACGAGTTCGAATACTTCATCCTACAGCGCTATAGTAAACTCAACATAAGTGGCGTTGAGAGATTGACTTTACGTACTCTGTCTGTGAGCCCGAGATTCCCCCCCGATGAGCGGCATTGGATAGTCTAAACAGTAGCGCGAGCTCACGGGTGTCCGTATGGCATGATCTTTAGCAAAACTTTCTGGCACAGACTCAAACAAGAGTCTCAGCTAATATGATAGTTAACTAGTACTCAACTTGTGGCGTATGGATCTTCCAACCTAGCACAATTCGTATCGGTAGGAAGGTTCTTAGACCCTTTCTGCCCTCCAGTGCTTTGACTTGGCCATACGATATCTGGATAACTAGTAGATGCCATACTTTTTCGCTCCAAAGTATAGAATCCTAAGTCTGAGCTTATGGGAGCTGCCCGAGCAATATATTCTGGTTAAAGGGACCCTTTCCATCCATCTGTGGAAATTTCCCATCCTTCTTATTCTTCCCACCTTTCCCCAATTCCTAAGCAATTTATCTACAATCTCGAACTACTCAGCTACTCGAAGATACTCACTTACTCAAACACGCTCAACTGTAAGTCCAAAGTTATCACCGCCTATTAGACACATCACCCAGATCACTTTTCTTTCATTACTATTCCCAAATCCACTGGCAAGCAAATATTGACAATTAGCTAGCCAATTAATTCGACTATTCTATCTGATCATATATTTCGCCTATTGAAATATATTACCCCTTTATTCAACCTACCGCAATGGCACCCAAGGGAAAGGGCAAGACCTCAACCGGCCCCCAAACCTCAACGACAACCAGCAAGGGGACTCAGACAACTCCACTGGGGCCGGTTGGGATCAAGCGTAGGCATAGCGAGACCTTTACCACACCGGAGCCGGCGCTTCGAAGACGTCGGAATGACCAAATGAGCCCACCCCCCAAGCGACGCCGTTTAGCTAGCACTCCGCCTACTTCTAGCACTCCGCCTATTTCTAGCACTCCGCCGACTTCTAGCACTCCGCCTATTTCTAGCACTCCGCCTACTTCTAACACTCCGCCTACTTCTAACACTCCGCCTATTTCTAACACTTCGTCTACTTCTGCCGAGGGGAGACCCTCCGTGGACGACTCAAAGCCACTACATCCCGAGGATGTTCATCATATGATCGACCAATACATGCAATCTATGGTCGGGGACCTAAATAACGAATATCTCGATAGGACAGCCTGGTTTTACGGCGGCATGTATAATGCTTCCTTAGTGTTCGTCGCTCAGATGGCTGCGAAAACGGAGATGGCGAACCATCGTGAGACCGACGAAGATGATGATGGGGAGCCCCTGCCCTCATATTCGGAGATTTGGGACGATTTTGAGGACGAGCTCCCTGATTGGGATTTGGATGGAGGAGCCCAAGGTGGCTCGGGAGGAGAACCATAGGGGGAGTTTACCAATAGTTGAATATGATCAACGATTATTTAGATCTGGGACGATTGGGAGGACGAGCTCCCTGATTGGGATTTGGATGGAGGAGCCCAAGGTGGCTCGGGAGGAGAACCATAGGGTGATTGGGATTTGGATGGAGGAGCCCAAGGTGGTTCGGGAGGAGAACCATAGGGTGATTGGGATTTGGATGGAGAAGCCCAAGGTAGCTCGGGGGGACAGCAAGCATAAGGGGTGTATTTGTGATTTCCTAGAATGGTGGTGATATCATTATTGTATTGGTTATTAATTAGGATTATAGGATTGGGATTTAACTATTGTTTATATATGCGTATTGTAGGTAGTAACTACCTTATTTACAATGAGTGATATTAATTATAGATTACAAAATATTTCTTCTATACAGATTACCCTACAGAATAAGTGTATACCACCTGCCACCAAAAATACCAGTAAAATAACATAGCCACTTTCTGCCTCATTAATTTTATAGAAAGTTAAATTTTAATAAATATTAAAATTTTCTTTTATATGTATGGAATCGCTTAATTAAATTTAATCGATCTATATCTTTTTTTTTAAAATGCAACCGTATTTCATTAAGTTATTATAAAAGTAATTTGTAAATAAGAAAAGTAATCTGTAAATAGTGGCATATAATCTGTATATAAAGCCGACTAATCTGTAAATAGCAACACGTATACTACATTTCTTAACCAATACACCGTATTTTATAATGGTTACTTATATCATTATAATCCTTATGATGAAACGTATTTAATAGTACCAAAATTATATAAATGCAACACGTTATAAGAAAGATATTACTAAGTAACAAATCTTAGGTAGGTAAAAACATTTAAAGCCTTATATTACGTAAAAAGCCTTGAATAGCCTTAAATAAAGGCCTTAAATTAGGGACCTAGCAGCCCTTATATAATACAGCTGTAGCGCCTGGCATACTGGGTGTTCTAAGAAAGTTACGGGGCAGAATGGGGCGATGTTATTTTACTAATATTTTTGGTGGCAGGTGGTATACATTTGTTCTATGGGGTAATCTGTATGGAAGGACTGTCATGGTAATCTGTAATTAGCATCACTCTTTACAATAAGTGCTTTAGTCATTAGTTGCTAGGGATCCATACATTAAGGGACTAGAATTGTATCTACTCTCCTATATTTCATTAGTATCGCCATAACTTTTCCAACCAATTAGATCTTTAGAATCACCTCGTAGTTGGCAACATTTTCCTTTGCCATTTTATCGTATAACGTCTATAAAAGGTGCGAATAGTATAGATGTCACGCAAAACGAGCTCTATTTAACAATATAGGTACTCATATGTCCAAATAGGCTGAAGTTTTATTACCTCGCGTTGCACCTGAACAAGGTACGTCGAGTAATAATTAACTTCACGGAAGGTAAAAACGGTGTTTATTGGGGATCCACGTCACCTAATTAGGTTATAATTGTAAGCAGCTGCTATAGTCATAAGTCACTGAAATAGCTATTGAGGCAGTCACGATCGAGGCATCTAAGGAAGGAACGAGGCCCTCCAAAGCCAATTATATAAAGAAGCAAAGTGCCATAATCCTCTTAGATTTAGCAACGCACTCTTCAACAACACACTCTTTAGCAACGCACTCTTTAGCAACGCACTTTTTAGCAACGCACTCGCAATACAAGACCAGTTCCACAAACGGAATATAAACAGGCATCCAGCGAGCGATGTGACTCGTGGACCAGTTAAGGTATGTACCTGTGCTTAATACAAATGCTCTATATCTTTAATCTAATATATTTTAGCATTTCAATAGCCTCCTCGCAATCATAATCATATACGGAAGACAACACTACCATCATCGTCGCCATAAGACAAGAACAAGGCCATTCGGGAAGATCCTAAGCTACACCCGACAGTATGAAGCATAACGGGTGCATTAAGGGACTAGAATTGTATTATATTACAATCATGGGTTACATATTGTTATCAGCATGGATGTTATGGCACGCTCGACTACAAGTCCAAAGTTATCGCCGCCTACTAGGTATATCACCCAGATCACTTTTCTCTCATTACCATTCCCAGACTTATTGGCAATATTGACAATCAATTCCTAAGCAATTTGTCTGCAATCTCGAACTGCTCAACTGCTCGAAGATACTCACTTGCTCAAACACGCTCGACTATAAGTCCAAAGTTATCGCCGCCTACTAGGTATATCACCCAAATATCCTGGAGAAACCCTAGGTAGCCCAGGAGGGAATGAAGCATAAGGGGTGTATTGGGTTCGGGGTTGGTCGCTGTTGCAACGTATACATAATACGTGATACAGCAGTTGGGGATTACATCAACAGGAGTTAAGGAGTTAAGGAGTTACAGGATATAGCAATTGGAATCACAACAAATTGGGAACTATAGCAATTGGGGATACCACCTATAGTCGTGCGAGGTCAGATGTCTAATCTTTCTATGTATTTAAGGAGGTAGCTGAACGCCTTTCTCAACTTTTGATACTTGTTTTAGGTAACTTGAATCGTTTTATCAACTCTTATGAAACCCGAATAAGATTCATATGAAATCATACTTAATCAATTTAGTTTAATATGTATATTATTTACTTGGGAAGTTGTCAAGGTGATGGATCTAGTAGTGGGTCTAGACTTAACGCTTAGGTAACCTAGTGGAAAGTCTATTCAGCGGACTCTAACGGTAAGATCGGTAGCTGCCGCCGCTATGGTAACCACCAACGCATGTGGCAAGTGTATTGTACCTGATAGGGCTGGTCTGGTAGGAACAACGAAAGTACCTCTTTCACCAATTCTAGAGCCAATTATGAATTAGGATGTTGCACGAAGGAATCGATGTGCCATGGCTGCTGCATAAGGGTTATTAAGTAGTTCATGTTCTAATTCTAAGTGAGATGAGGTAAGACAGATCCGATCGGACTTCTTTCTTCTCATATTTCATATTTCCACGTTTTCGATATAACTTGAGCTGTAAACCTGCTACCTAGCTACAATTTGAAACTCCTCACCATTCCTAACCCAACAAAATACCATGGGATCGGGTAAAGTGGAGGTCATACAATACCTTGTCGACACCCGCCAATTATGGCCTGGGGCGACTAAGACAAAAGACCTCGAGAAAGAGGTATGAGCAATTTAACATTTAACTTCGTTTTGTCTTGCGACGGGTACTTACGTCGGTCTAGGCGTCGCGCGCATTGGCCCTCCTCACCGAGGATGAGAAGAAGGCAGTGCTAAAATATTACTTCGTCGCCGATGCGAAGATGTCGCTTGCTTCGCATCTGCTCAAGCATTGGGTCGTCAGCAAATATGCTGGCGTTTCGTGGTGGGACACTAAGCTGACGCGGGACGAAAAGACTAAACCTGTCTACGTAGACCCTGCTACGGGCAAACAACCTGTCGCGTTCAACGTCAGCCATCAGGCCGGTATCGTCGCTCTCGTAGCTGTGGCCGGGTATGATGGTAAAGTCGATGTCGGGACCGATATAGTCTGCACGAGCGAGCGGCGCGTGCGCGACCATAAGGTTATCAATACGGAGGGCTGGAATAGTTTCGTCGACCTGCACTCGGATGTATTCGGTCGGTCGGAGGCGGGCTATCTGAAGGGTGATCTGTTGAGCACACAGCCAGGCCTACCTCCGCTGGCGCGCGGCGACGAAATCATCGACTTCAAGCTGCGGGCTTTCTACACGCTCTGGTGCCTGCGCGAGGCTTACGTTAAGATGACAGGCGAGGCGCTCCTGGCGCCATGGCTCAAGGACCTCGAGTTCAAGCACTTCCGGGCTCCGCACCCCAGCCAGGGGTTCGTGCAACTGCCGGACGGCGAGGTCGTCGAGAAGCAGGAGATCATTAAGGTCCACGAGATCCTGTTCCACGGGAACAAGGTCGACGATGCAAACATCTGCCTGCGCTCCCTAGGGCCCGACTACATGACCTGCTCTGCCATCCGGACCCCGGACCGCAAGGAAGACGCTCTTAGCTGGGACCTGGGACCGTACGAGTTCCTGCCGATGAACCAGATCTTGTCTGACGCGGAAGACAGGCTAGACGACTGATTGGCTGAACTGAGTCATCTTGTGCATTACGAAGATTACGAAGTTGATTTAAGGGTATGCATAGATGAAACATGTGTTCTCATATACATAGAATGCTTTTGATATGGTCCTGAAATATGAACCTTTTATAGTCACTTGACCACATCTTTTTCTATCTACCTAGTATGTACATAGAGTAGTTGCCTACCGGATCTAGATTCCGTCGAATTACCACCGACTTAGCCGCAGCCTAGGCGGCGAAGATGGTGTGCATCAACAGCCTTGCTACGGCTTCTAGAGGAGGGTTATGGTCACATCGCCCTACACCCGACTCCTGCAGGGTGACGGCAGTATGCGCCAGATGATCTTCGTTCGAGACTACCTAACCTACCTAACATGACTTTTTTTGTGGCGCCGTAGTTCGTCGTGATATTTACTAATTTAGATTTGGCCATATGGTTTGTTGTAGTATTTTGAGGCTCGAGACCAATTGTAGAGAATCCCCATAACCATATTGCCGTACCCGCTTCGGGTTGTGAGTTGGGTTAGAGTCTTTGGTGTGTGGACTTTATTCAATGATAATACTGAGAAACGCTAAGTAGCATTTTCTCTTGTTGTGCAAACCTTGGTAATGTGTAACTTTGGGAAACGAGATGACTAGGTACCTTAGGTATAGAAATTTTCATACTTTATATGCTGTTTTCCCGCGTATTTTAACCCGAAGCAATGCTCTATTTCGTGGCGTGTAAATGTAGATGCACTATTAGGTACCAATACCGTATAATTACCGTAATATACTGTGTATAATATACTGTACGTTATACGTGTCTTGATCTTTAGCGGAGCTTGTTCCATTGGTGGGGAATGTCCCCTCCCTGAGATTGGCGCCTCGTTCGAATTTCTGGATTTCTAGGATTGGAGAGAGACGGAAGCTGCACCACTCGAACAAGTCAAGCTAAAAACAACTTTGGACCTAAAAACGTCATTTTTGGTGACGAGGGGGGAAAATGCTTGTCTTTGTGAAAAGACACCGTTAATATTTTAACATTCAATCCCCTAAATTATCATTCTCAACCTACATATTAACTACAGTACCTACATACTGAATTTGAATTCCACTCTTCGATTTTAACCTTTCGCTATTGGTTTCGCTACTAATTCCTCGTCTATCATTGAACAAACATGCTGTACTAACATCTTCTTCTTTCACCGTCAAATCTTCACTGCCGACTTTCTTTAAAACGAGTTGCCTATCAGCCTATCAGCCAACAATTTCGGTACCCTTTTGGTACCGGGATTATATCATCTAACATCTAATTCAACATGTCGGATACTGGAGACAGGTAAGTAAATTTACTTATCAATTCTGCTATTCTGCTAAATATGTAGAAATACATACCTTCCAAGCCTAGATTCCTAGATTACTGACTCGCTTCGAAACTAGCCAGCATAAGCGGTCCAAGTCGGCCGCCCTCTCCCTTCTCCGACGCAAGGACAAGGATAATCGTAATGATGACGATGCCATCTCTGAAGATGGATCGCAAACCTCCGGGCTCGCTTCGCTTCCTATCACGAGCACCTCTGCCCCCGCCGTTCCTATGTCCCACCAAGCTTCCGTTAAGGGTCATAGTCAAAAGATGTCAGTTAGTCGGATTCCATCCCGCGAGCCCGCCTCTTTAAACCCGAATCGGTACAGCCTCTCCGTGGCCGACAAGGGCTCGTCGCTTGAACAATCCGTTCGTAAATTCCGTATCGTCGAGGCTTTACGGAGCGGAAACACAGCCGCGATATCCAAGGCTGTTAGGGAAACATCAGAATCCGGGCCTCGCGCGAGTACGTCTTCTATCGGCGGAGCAAATGCGGGACCTCTGGATGACACGACAGTTCTACACCTTGCCATTCAGTGCGCCGAATTCGACGTCGTAGAATACGTTCTCTCTGATGGCGCCGGATATATTGATGTGAACGCTCGGGACAAGGATGGAAATACGCCATTACATGTGGCTGCTACTCAGGGACGCGCCCCGGTAGTTCGGCTGCTGCTGGAGCAGAAGGATATCAACGATGCCGTTGCAAACAATCAGGGAAAGCTCCCTTTAGATGTAGCAAGAAATCCCGATATCTTCCAACAGCTGCAACTCGCGAGGACCTTATTCGTGCAGGATAAAGTTAAGGAAGTCCAAGAGCTCGTACAAACAGGAGCCTATGATACTCTTGGTCAGGTTCTAGAAGAACCCCGTGTCAAGACGATCCTAGACATCAATAGCATCGAGCTACCTTGTGACCCCGTGACAATTCAGGCGGGCGGGACATTGCTTCATGAGGCCGCCCGCAAGAGAGACACAAAGTTGATCCAAGCTCTTCTCCTTCACGGTGCTGACCCGTTTCAACGAGATCGCAAAGGTAAACTTCCTCAGCAGGTTACCAACGACGATATTACAAAGGCAATGCTTAAGCGATCACCTGCTGCGGTAGCTGCTCAACGTGGTATCCAGGAGAAGGCGGTACTCGGGCACGCGACTTCGCAAGGTGGTCCTGGACCAGCTGTCACAGGAGACCCTCTAACTGGACGCGAACCGCAGATGAAGGGTTACCTCAAGAAGTGGACCAATTACCGTAAAGGCTACCAGCTGCGTTGGTTCGTTCTCGAGAATGGTGTCCTGAGTTATTATAAGCACCAGGACGACGCGGAGAACGCTTGTCGTGGAGCCATTAGTATGCGCATCGCCAAGTTATATATGAGCCCCGAGGAGAAGACGAAGTTCGAGATCATCGGGAAGTCATCAGTAAAGTATACGCTAAAGGCTAACCACGAAGTCGAAGCTAAACGATGGTTCTGGGCCCTGAACAATGCGATTCAGTGGATGAAGGACCAAGCAAAGCAGGAAGAACGACAGAAGGCACAAGGTGCTGAAATGTTGCGGCAGGCTCGAGACAGCCTTTACAAACCGGCGGAACCTTCTATTGGTGATTCTCATAGCGAAGTGGCAAGCACAGGCGAACCTAGGAGTAGTGTACAGTTATCCCGCCTTTCTTCAATAGGGAAGGGAGTTGGCTCGCGGGCTGGAATATCTCACGCTAGTACCACGGGCAGCGTAGATGACGAATTCGTCGACGCTGGTAGCCCCGAGAATAAAGGACAAAGTAACGGAGCGCCAACAACCCCCGGCGAGGTCGATGACGACGACGACGACGAATACGTAGATCAGTCAAGCCGCGGTGAAGCTCCTACAGCGACTAAGGACGCTTTCAACATCACTGCACAGTCAGCAAGGCTCCAACTAGACACACTAGCATCCGTGAGCGCGGCGTTACAAGCGGAAGCAAATCGGAACCCATCACTATCACTTGCGGATCCTAAAGCAGCGCAAGCGCTTGCGACGTACGACGCGGCCATCCGAAGTCTAAAGGGTCTTATGGGGGACCTTCTTAGAATATCGAAGGATCGCGACGCGCATTGGCAATATCGTTTAGAGCAGGAAATTGAGATGCGGCAAATGTGGGAAGAGAGTATGGCTAAGGTAGCCGCAGAACAGGAAGTCCTAGAAGCAAGAGTTAGCGAAGCCGAAACGAAGCGAAAGTTAGCTAAACGGGCACTTCGCGAAGTGATAGGAAGCACCGGCGAATCTAGGCCAATTACCAGAGATAGTTTCAACGCTGTGAATACTGAGGTGTCCGGTGCCAACGAGGATGAGATACCGGCACCATTACACTCGCCATCGTTGAAGAGCATAGGGCGCAAATCAACCTTGCACTCCCATGCCATCGAGCTCTCCAGCGACTCGGAATCCGAGCAGGACGAATTCTTCGATGCGGTAGATGCAGGGGAAGTCGATGTAGAACCGATGCCGCCGTCTGACGTTGTACCGTCCGCTGGTTCCGGACAGGACGTGGTAATATCAGGGATAGACGTCAGCAGTGCATTTAAAGGTTATGAGAATGGCTTTAGGACGAGACTAAAATTAGATGAAGACAACCGACCAAAGATTGGTCTATGGGTAAGCCCACCAACTCTGTCAAGTTAAATACTCTTGTGCTAATTTCTTTCAGGGCATCTTGAAATCTATGATCGGTAAGGATATGACGAAGATGACGCTGCCGGTATCGTTCAACGAGCCAACCTCTCTGCTATATCGAACTGGTGAAGATATGGAGTACGCAGACCTATTAGATATGGCAGCAGATCGATCAGATTCGATCGAACGCATGCTTTACGTCGCTGCCTTCGCGTCGAGCGAATTCGCGTCGACTATTGGTCGTGTCGCGAAGCCATTCAACCCGCTTTTAGGCGAGACGTTTGAGTACGCGAGACCTGATAGAGGTTACCGCTTCTTTATCGAGCAAGTTAGCCACCACCCACCCATCGGCGCCGCGTACGCGGAATCTGCAAAGTGGACTTACTGGGGCGAGGCCAAAGTCGACTCTCGATTCTTGGGCAAATCGTTCGATATCTATCATCTTGGTACCTGGTTTCTGAGATTACGTCCTACTGCTGGCGGCAAAGAGGATTTCTTCACGTGGAAGAAGCCCAAATCGCAGGTAGTCGGCATCATTACTGGTAACCCAGTCGTAGATAACTATGGTCTCGTGGAAATCAAGAACTGGACGACGGGAGAGACGTGCTTGCTAGATTTCAAGCAGCGAGGTTGGAAGGCATCCAGCGCTTACCAGCTTTCCGGAAAGATTTTGGACGCCGACGGCCGGCCGCGTATGAGCTTGGGTGGCCGTTGGAATTCTAAGCTTTACGCTCGCCTTACGCCCGGCTTTGAGGCTACCGTCGAAGAGCCAAAGGACACACGAGGAAGCATCGGCGATCCCAGCCGAGCTTTCATAGTGTGGGAAGCCAATCCTCGGCCTGAAGGTATCCCGTTCAATCTCACGCCATTTGTGCTCACTTTCAACCATATAGACGACAATCTCAAGCAATGGATTGCCCCCACCGACTCCAGGTACCGTCCGGACCAGAGAGCGATGGAAGACGGCGAATATGATTTCGCGGCGTCCGAAAAGAACCGGCTCGAAGAGGCGCAGCGAGCTAGGCGGAAGGCGAGGCAACAACACGGCGAGGAATTCACGCCTGCGTGGTTTGAGAAGACGACATGTGAAATCACGGGGGTAGAGTACTGGAAATTTACTGGAAAGTACTGGACGCAACGAGAGAAGTTCGGTAATGGGGATGCTCACGCGTGGGATGGTTTAGAGCCGATCTACTCGTCTGAAGAGCAGGAGTAATGAATCTTGGCTAGTAGGTAGTGGCGCGGCTGTACATGATATTACAAGAGGCACATGCGCGAGGCTTGTCAGACGAGTATGAATGAATGAAATGAGGCATTGCTACTTTGACGATTATAAAAATGACTGACTGTCAAGTGAATGAGCTAATATTTAATTTGTTTAGTAAGTTCGTTATTATAAACTCAGAGGCAACTGGGTCTTCTGTATAGTGATAGATACTACCTAGCTAGTATAACTTTTAATTGAGAGAATACTAGAATCGTAGTATTTCGCGACTATGTATATACGCATGGGTCTTCACAGAGAGAGTTGTCATATTTCTGTGCTATAAGTTGTTGCCTGTTATTATGTATTGTACTTGCCGGTACAGGGTGAAGGCTGCTGGTCTATTACCGCATATAGAACCACGTACATACCTACCTACCTACCTTACCTTGGTAACCCAAGGACTTTTTACATGTGTAAGGAAATCGATCGGCCGGCACTTGGAACATTTAGGTACCTGTTTTGGGACAGCGAGGTCCATTTCTTGGCGCCGGCTGCGGGCCGTAGGTCTGTCCACTCTTGGATCCGAGCCTCGGTAAAAAAAAAATAAAAGTTCGAGCTATGGGATTTCGTAAGCAGACGCTTTGAGACAATTGGCTCAATTCATTAACGCTTTAGCCTCGATCCTTGGGATCCTTGTCGGCTAGTGTACGGGATTTCGCATGGGAAAGCGAAGTCTCGCAAACAAATAGGAGAAGGGTCGATTAGATGGGATGGGATGGGATATTTTGAAGGCCTTTTCTTGTCTTGTTCTTCTTACTTGTTATTCTTTGTAATTTCAATTAACTACCTCCTGACTAACTAAAGCACCTAACGTACTTGAGCTAATTGTGGATATTTGCAACATACCAACAACAACAACCAACATTAGTTGGCATAACATCATCATCATCACCACCCATCGCGGTCTTTTGTGCAACGTCAAACCCCCCCCTGGGTCTACCTACATCGGGGATCCAAATCGTTGTCAGATCCATCCTGCTGCAAGCCACAGGAACGGGAAGGAGACGCGGAAGAAGAGAGATAGGTAGTAATAGTAATAGGTAGTAAAGTATCCGACGAGATGGGCGAATTCCCAACGCTGGTCCGGCCGCCGCCGCTCGACACGTCCAAGGCGCCTATCGAGAACGCGCTTGAGCTAACTGAGCTGAGCATCATCGGACCTGTGAGTATTTGCTTTTTTTTCTTTTTTCTTTCTCTTGATTTTTATACCTAGGTAGCTATTGGTTGGTTACAAGCCGACTGACTGCATGGTTATCTGTTGGTTACCTATATACCTATGTGTACCTATCTATTTATGTACGTGAGGAACGCCGCTGACTCGTGCTGTTACTATGTAGGACCTCTTTACCAATACGCGCGAGCTGTGGCATCCGCCCGGCGCGCGGGGGATATACGGAGGCGCTGTTATTGCGCAGACGCTTGCTGTATGTACATCCATTTCTTTTATTACTTACTCCCTTGCCCCCATCTCTTATGAGTTGGTTGGTTGGTTGTTTGCTTGTTTGTTTATTCTGGTCTGTTTGCCAGATGTCTCACCCCCGTCGTCCTTCCGAGCGGAAGGGTTGCTTGGGTCGGCATCCGGTCGGTTTTTGTCTCTCGTCCCGGTGTTGGTGCTCCCAACGACCGTAATAACCCTACCTCACTATATTCTTTCTCTCTCCCTTCCTACACCTGCTTCTTCCTTTGAATCTCACCCGCATATGCAAAGACGGGATAAGGCGGGCCGGAGTACGATGAGTTGCGATCCCGACGGAGAGTTTCCGCTTGCATTATTCGGATTCCGTCGTGTCCCTCAACCCAATCCAAGAACAACCACCCATCCACCCGCCTGCATCATGCAATCTGTCAGCTGACTGTGATGAAACAACCCACCGACTGACATGATCCCCCCCCACGGCTTTGTAGGCTGCCCAACGCACCGTCCCGCCAAACTTCGTGGTGCACTCGTACCACTGCTTCTTCGTGCTAGCAGGCGACTCCAGTGTGCCCATCCTGTACCATGTCGAGCGTGTGCGCGAGGGCCGGTCCTTTTGCACCCGTACCGTGCAAGCCCGCCAGCGCGGCCATGCCATCTTCACCGTCACGTGCTCATTCGTGCGCGAGGGCAGCGGTGGCGAAGAGTCCGTCTCGCACGCCGTGCCCGTTCCCGCCGAGGCGCTCGCCCAGACCCCTCCGGACGACTACCAGGACCCGCCGTTCCTGCGCCGGGCCGGCGACGATCCGTTCCAGAGCTTCCGGTGCAAAGCCCCCGGGGACGGCGACGAGTCGAGCTCGCCCACGGCTAAGCGCGTGTGGCAGTGGGTTCGCGCGCGCGGCAAGATCAGCGAGAAGGGCGGTCTCAGGGCGCACCTGAGCGCGCTGGCGTACGTCAGCGACTCGTACTTCATCGGCACCGTCAGCCGCATCCACCGGCTGTGGAGGTACCCGGTGCGGCCGGAGGACATGGGGAAGCTGGAGCCGGAGGTGCGGAAGCACATGGAGCAGCTGAACGAGTGGGAGGGGTACGGGACGCTAGAGAGCACGGCGAAGCGGCCCGAGGTGGGCATGATGGTGTCGCTGGACCACTCCATCTACTTCCACAACCCGAGCAAGGTGCGCGCCGACGAGTGGATGTTCGTCGAGATGGAGAGTCCCTGGGCGGGAGACGGCAGGGGCGTGGTTATGCAGAAGATTTACAGCCGCGACGGGACGCTGCTTGCTACCGCGTTTCAGGAGGTGAGTTGTTTTTTCTTTCCCCGTTTTACCTTTTCGGTAGTAGCCGTTCCGCGGTGGTTGGTTGTCCCCGGCTAACGAGCATTTTGCGATCTTCAGGGCGTCGTAAGATTGAAGCAGAAGAAGAGGGATCAGAGCCAGGAGAAGGCGAAGCTATAGGAGGCCGCGGCTGGCCTTGCCACGGAAGAGGAGGAGAGGTAATAGAAAGGGACATGGTGAAGTGCGTATGCTTGCTTGCTGGTTAGAATGGAGTTTTGTAAGTTGGATGGGATTTATAGACTTGTTATTAATAGCCGTCGGGGGAATCGAAGACGTGATTCGGGGAGGAGGCTGCATATTACAACGGCATATGCGGAGGTTTTACCTACAGCAAGTGGATGCGAGTTTTTAGATCATAGTAGGTAGATGCCTATCTACGTACATAGAATATACCCGTTTGTATGTCCGATTTCCCAGCGAGAGTTTTACCTTGCTGTCATGGGGCTCTTTTAACTACCTAGCCTAGCCTACATAGCACACGCTCTCGGGTCATTTTTAGGGTGTCTGCCGGATTTAAGGTATACTGGATCCAATGTCAAAGCTATACCTATAAGAACGCTTGAAGTCTTCACGCGTGCATGGTAAATGTACTTGGAGGTATCTCCGGGTATCTATCTACAGCTTCCGCAAGTCGGCCGGCCATGTGGGATGTGGGATTTGGGGCAGCCGCAGGACAGGATATCACATTAGTCAGGCCGATACTATGTATGTATGATTCACACCGCGTTGGCGTAGGTAATTACTAAGGACAAGGGATGATTGAAGCGGGATTAGGAGGTATTCATGCGGGTTGACTTGGCTAGTCTGTTTCCTCCGGCCGTTTTCGCCGGGAGGCGGGTGGAATCGGTCGGCTCGACCTTGGAAAATTATTATTTTATTTTATTTTATTCTTTTTTCGCATCGGGGAGTTACCGGATTGTAGTAATTGTTCGCGAGATGAACTATCGTTTGGCAATCGCGGTAGAGAGGTTTGGTAATGTGTTCTATTCGATAAATCTCCCCGTGAGGTCATACGGGATGGAAGCGGCAGGACTTTTGTTTACTTGCCTATCCGTTCCGATAGATCATGAGGGCGGAAGTACCCAAGGTAAGGTAATCTTCCATTTTCCAACATACTCTCATCACCTAGGGAAAAAAAAAAAAGACGGCAGGCTTACCCTTACCGGCTCTGAAGAAACGGCTTCGGGGCGAGTCAATGGTTAAAAATAAAATAAAAAGTAGAAAGCCGAGGATGAGCGAGCAGGCGGCCAAAAGGAATGAGATATTTTAGATACCCAAGGTCACCGGCGAAACTTGACCCCCGCGGTATCGGCAACGCAGCAAAGCAATCTTGGAAAACCCGGTCCACGGATCACGGGCTCGCAAGGGTTAGAAGAAGAAGAACAATAATAATAATAATAAAATCTCCGGCCGATTCGAATCGAAAAAAAAAAAAAAAAGCTGCGGGTCCCGGAGGTCACAAGGAGAAAACTCGGCGATGTTATGTATGTAAAATTCACTCAACCCACGCTATCGGGAACGAAGCTCCATCGGAGCTGTCAAACTTTTTTTTTTTTTTTCTCTTTCGAGAGATAGACAGCTTGACTATCTAGGTACCTAGGTAGGTAGATCTTTAGCCAAGTCTAGCCCTGTTTGCCGCCTTACTCATTTTCAGCTTCCGCTAGCTCGGCTATTGAGAGAAGGCTTCGTGAAGCTTCGGTGCGAGACGGGCCCCGGTGGGTTTGAAGTAGTTTTTTTTTCTTGCGCGAGTTAGCTACCTAATGTACCTCCTACACTACTAGGTTAGTAGGTAATAAGAAGCAGAGCCGCCGGTATTTCCCACGTGGCGGGGCCATAATAAGTGTCTAACTAAAATATCGACTTTCTTTCTGAACTAAAGGATGTGGTGGAAATGGTAACGTTCTTCGTTTGAGTTGGTTCAGGGGCAGTGGGTACACGTAGGGCTAGAAGCTCTTCTTCTCCCTTAGATTATGAAAAGACAGGCTTAGCTTAATGATTTCGGAAGATTACGTGTTAAGTTCATGCATACCTAAATACTTGGTTCAGTTGGTTACGTGTAGTTTCGGCTGTTGGTGATATAACGCCTCGTTACGTTGTAATATTTTATACAAGCTTCTCGAAACTGAGGTCAGTAGTACGGCGAAGTTAGGGATGCCAAGTAAATATATCCGTCACTAACAAAGCTAACAAGTGGCTGTGAAGACGGGGTTTCAAATTACACCTGCGGCAAAGCAAGACGTCACGACTTGTTTGGTAACACGCGGAAATAGTTAATGATGCACTCTACTTACGAGTACATATGCCCAAGTAGACCACGGTGTTGGCAAGATGCCCGTTGGAAACTTCTCGTGAGAATACCTAGATTTATGGTATAAAAAAAAGCCTCAATGACTTGCTTGTAGTGTATATATGTAATGGTATTAAGGATCTCGAAAAGAACCGGGATTCGGAGCGCGGACAGTCGATTCACCAAGTTCCGCCTGCACAAAAGCTCGGATTTCACAGTTGGATTCCCGCTTGTATCTCGAAGTCTCTCAAGTACCCCCTACCTTAATGTAGAGAATCAGAGAATAGAAAAGTTGATGAGCTAAGTGGCCTCAAATATTGTCCCATTAGGGCTGACCCACGTCCCATTGCTACATAGGAGAAAATTACCTAGGTAAGGTAAGATGGTGAATATGCTGATATGCTAATGCTAATGCTGTGATACCCGTTCACGATCCAATTAATATCCTCGGGCGGCTTTAATACAGCAAAAGCCGACCCTCCGAGAGGAAATTGGGTCGTTTCCATCAGCGTCTCTTCGCATGTGAAGCTAGGTTAATATGTAAGTACATACATTATACATACTTACATACCATAGTTACTCATAGTGTTGTGTTGCAAGTTTCTTCCTCGACTCCCACGCGAACGACTATATTCCACACGGACGATCGCATCGATTGCCCACGCGAGACCTTGCTGCTTTCAATGACCGAAATCAACCTCCCCTTCTTGTGACACGGACTTGCACAGGGCTGCAGAGATCTGATCATAATGCAGCAGCAGCAGGGTTAACCTACCATGCAATAACCTGCCGGATCGTGAAATTTGATGAGAAAGTGAGGGACTTTTTGCCTGCCCCTGTTACTCCGTAACGAACCTCAAATTTGAGTCAATTTTTGAAAGGGACGATGGACGGGTAAAAGAGGAAGCTCGTGACATCGTGACATGGTTTATGTAAAAGAAAGTTGTCTTGTTCGATTGATGGATGCCCTATGTAAAACGTTCAATACTATTGATGGGCCTTAGTGCGGTAACATTTTTCGGACCAAGGGGGTTTTTTTTCCTTCGGAGAGCGAAGCTCGAACTCGCTACTGTAGTGGCCGAGCACCGAACAACCGGATCCGCTATTACGGGTTCTTGTGATCATTCTTATGGTGTTTTTACTTATTTTTTGTGTTTCCATAGAAAAATAAAATTCCCACCGCGACGTTTTGATTGATTGATCGATTGATTATAATTGATTAACTTTGATGGCGTGCGAGCTGATCGATCGTCTTTTTACTCCAGCCACCCCGATCAGAAACCAAACCCTCCTTAACCGGATTCTTGGGTCTGGGTCTTGTATACATTAGGTATCATTATATCATCGATGCGCCTTACATTATCTTCAGTATTATATATTTATGCCGCGTGCATTACTCCATTATACTCCATTTGGTAATGGTCAAAAAGTGGACTTACCTTATATGGAACTAACCTTACTATGTTACTGGGTTTTTACCATATCCTATCCAAATGCTTCATTCCGATTCGGCCGATGTATATATAAATCACATCCGGAGCCGACACGGCATTTCCAATTGTCCCATGGTACTGGACAGGTATTAGGCAGTTAGCAAAGCTTGTTGTGGGTCCTAGGGGCGATCATATCCTATGTACCTAATTCTCCACCTTTTACCCACCTATTGCATTGACCAATAATATTCAACTAGCATTCCCTCTTCTAGAATTAAGCTGAAATATGCTGCACCGGTTGCATTTTGATGCGTCTTGCTCCGCTACTCCTCGCCAAATCCATCCACTTTTAGCCAAAAGCGGAACCATTTTGCATTTTCATGACCTGTCTGCGTGTGAAAGTAGGTATCACTTAACCTACTATATTATGTGCGACCATTGTAATTAAGCCCAGCTAAGCAAATGGTGAGATCATCATTGCTTCCATTATATCATTCGAGCCACCGTAACGACAGAACGATAAGGGCGTTGAACCTTGAAGTTGGCCAAGTTTCCCCGTAACCACACGTTACATACATGGTATACATACATGGTAAAGTCAAGCTAGACATGAAAAGTGGTGGTTTGAAAAGGCAATTTGCATAAGACAAACAGAAAACCCATAAGAGGATTTCTCCGGATCTGCCAGTCCTCTCCTTCGGGAATGCGCTAAACGAGAAGCGCCTCGCAGGGTGTTCCACAAAGGATCTAACCTACCTAAGGTACGGGTTACCGCTTGTTACCTTGCATCAAGTGAGAGGTCGCTTAGAAGGGCCAAAGTCTGATGCTTATTTAGATCAGATACAAGGTATCTAAATCCCAGATGGAAAAAAGAAAAATGCAAAACTTAAAAATGTCTCTGATAACCCGCGATGGCTGAGCAGCCAAGCCTGATGAGGCGTAATACCATCATTATGATGATTCGTGTATTCGTAAAGTACCTACAAATAAATCAAATCATGACACTTTCAGTTTGCCATTAGCGCGTTTTAGCAGAGCCTCAGGAGATGTACGGAATAAACGAATGCGAGCTACATTATAAAAATTACTTAGCAGCCCTAGCTAACATTGGAGTTTAATAACATTGGAGTTACAAAATAGTGCTTTACGCTAGAAACGGGCCAAGTATCTCCCGCCCTCTACACTAGAATACCTATCGTGGCTCATAAACGTCCAACCGAGGAATTTATAAAATGGGGCAATGCACTTATGTACGCCGTATTCCGTATTCTACATAATGGAGTTCGGGATCTGGACCAAGACCCTAAAATTTGGCACGGGAAAACATGTGCCCTAAAAAAGGAGAAACAAAAATAATATCTCAAATGACGTTGGTGAAACAAGAGAAGGGGAAAAAAAAAGAACAAGATTTTAATCCCTTACGTTAGGTATATTAGGATTTTATTTTGCTGAGGTAACTCGGAGTTAGCGGGTTGGTTTAGTCGAAGAAGTTCAAAAAGAGCGATAGGAAGCTTAAGCTTAAGGAGTTAGGGAGTTGAATACCGTAGATGCATTAGTGACGGAGCGGTTGCAATCCGCTATGCAAGCTTGTGCAAACATCAGTTGATCAGAAGGAAGTTTCTTGGCCCGATT